GGTCGCGGAGGGCATGTGGGCGGCGGCGAAGCAGGAGAAATGGAAGAAAAACACGTTCGGCATCTAATTGACGGGCAAAACTTCTTCCGAACCTTTTTGCTCCGCCGCCACCGCCGAGGGACGTTGTCTTCATTTCCTCCTTTCTTCCGTACGATCGTTCTACCGCTGGAATTCCACGCCCTGGAAGAAGGGACCTGCCAATCATCGTCGCGACCAGGGAAACGCGGACGTTTCCTGCCATGAAATGTCCCGCGAGCCAATCCGTACCGATCGGATCGACGTCAAGGACCGAGACGGGAATCATCCATTAGAATTTCTCCTCTCCATTGCTTGTCCGACCGCCATACTCATCCAGAACGTCTTGCGACGGTACGCCCGATTATGCCGCTTTCCGTAGCCTGGCCGGATAGGCTCGCAAAGGCTAACGAAACTCTCCGACTCCGGGCAAGGACGGACTCGTACGTGGCTCGCTCCTCGGGTGGCGGGAATGCGGACAGGCTCACTCATGGGGGACTGTTAAAGGGATTTCTCTCTGGAAGCAGTGTAATTGTTTGCTTTGTCGAGTTCTTAATGTAATACGCGACCAGCACGCAGTTGTTTTCTTTGTGCACCGTCATCGTCGAGCGGTGGCGGGGCTGGGCTAGATGGTACGACCGAAAGCGGTCGGGGCAGACCGAATTCCGCTCGTAGGTGGACTACATTAAACTAATCGCATGATAAACAGAACCAATTAGTCCAAATGAAGTGGAGAGTTATTCCGTCTCTCGAGTCCGTCTCACCGACTCCTTGCTTGCGACACTCTCTCCTCATGCCCCTCCATTCTCGACCCACTGTTCCCCCCCACCGTGTACTTCTCGACCCGGTCGATGGAAGATCGTAATCGATGAGAATTCCGATCCGTTCTCGGAGGGAAGGAGGAAAGACGGAGCTTCGCCGTGCATTCCGGCCCAATTACGGCCGCTCGCTCGGTGCCCGTATCGCACACCTAACTTGGCACATGGCATAAGAATCTCTGATGTTCCGGGAGACTCTCGCTACCTCGTCCACCGTCTTAGAAGAGGAGGTTCCTTGCGAAAGCGATTTGCTAATTATACTTGTGCGGTCGCTGAGTAACTTAATGGTAGCAGCGAGCCTCTCAAGAGCCCAGACTGGTCTTCGTCGGTGTCGTGCGCTCTTCTCTCCACTGGTCCTTAGACGCCACAGCTGAGTGAGCGAGATAAGGGACTGCATCGGCTAGCGTCGAGGTATCTCACTCTATATATTTTTTGGTTCCGTCTCGGTGACCATCTCGAGGAGTGGAATCGCGGGAAAAAGACGGGAACCGGCAACGATACCCGGCGTCGTCCTCTCGTGGACGTCGCGGTTGTCGCTTCTCGGTTCCTTCCCTCGATAATTAGTTTGGGGACGTCATCCCAGGCCGAGGGTCATTGTCCATTCAAGTCTGAACGGGCTGCTTTGACAAATGTGCGCTGTTCTCGAGAACTCATTTTGGGATCTCGAACTCGTCGATTTCGGTCACTTCGCTATGGGCACCGAGGATCTCACAACAAATTCACCGATTGCAGATAATTGAGAGAGGGTGTTTGAGAAATTATTATCCATGGTTAGCGAGCGCGGGAGGGCGTGAGTGAGCTCGTGGGGCGCGGAAATTTATTGAGACTATCCACCAGCCAAGGCCAAACTCTTCATCAAGCGAATTCATCCGCAGCGACGAGAGAGTTCCTTAATTTTTCCTCTGTCCCCGCATTACGAGTACCGATGTTTCGGGCACGGGAGGTAATCGACTTGGATCGGACCGAATTTCGGAAAGCAGAAACATATCCTGCCATTTCGGAAGACCCATCGCGTCGGAGGTACGAGCCGATTGGGCCAAGAGGCTCTCGGCAGCTTCGGACGAGGACTCATCGATATCCATCTGGAGGCAGAAGGATACTTCCATTCTCCCACGAAAACTGCAACCAGTCCGGACACTCGATCGGTTCTTGTATTGCGTCCGTTAAGACAACAAATAGAAGGTGAACCGACAAGAATCGCACGTCGAGGTAGCGCGAAGAGCCTCGTTACTTGCGTGGTCGGTGGGCTTTCTCGGTCACTCGCTCGTCCGCTTGCCAGTCGGCGGACAGGCGGGCTGCAAGAAAACAGACGGACAGACTCGCTGTCGGTCATTAAGTTGGCCCCATACATCAGATCATCCTGAACACGCTGCTTCTGCTGCTACGGCGGCGACTACGACCGACAGGCAGGAAGGCGGGCAGGCAAGCAGTCAGTCGTTCAGCTGATCGCAAATGGCAGATATGGCGAGCCCGAGGACGGGGTCGTGATTGCTTCCATTTGGTCTCCGTGCCAAGGGGTCGGGGAAGAAAATCCGGGAAAGACCAGAGAAAGACTGGCAAAATGCTCTGGACGCGCGGACTGCGATCGCGGATGAACAACAAAGGCTAAACGAGTTTTCCGAATACCTTCCATGGAGGAGCTCCCTCCGCACATCGACGAGCCGACTCTTTCGCTAACTGGACCGAATGCGCTGCGACCGCTCCCATTTTCCGTAAATCGTTGAACACGAACGGGTCCGAGCTCGGTCCCCTACCGCATCGAGGAATTTCCGGCTCGATTTCCGGGTACCGCTTCCTTAAGAGTGAGTTGCTGCCATTGCTCGGCTCGCCTGGACTCGAGACGCGCGAATGCACCTCGATACGAATCTGGGAATAGGAAGATGTTTCTCTTCAATGCAGCTCGAATCCTAGCTCGCGAAAGCTCTGGGTTATTTTGAGTCGGCTCGCATTCACTTGTTGTGCCTATTCCGGGCGACGACACACGAGATTATTATTTACGTGAGAAGCCCACTCGAGGCCTCTCACCGAAATACCATAATGGAAGCTCATATTCAGGAGTCTCAGATATCATGGGCGGTTTCCCGGTCGGTCAGTTCACAGTACTTGACCAAATACATAAGACCATAAACGAATTCGGATAAGAGCGCAGCTAAAATCTGATCATTGGACACCACAGCGCTCGTGCTGGTCGGGGTAATCCTGAAGTCATGCTGCTTCGGTCGTAAATTTCTTCGATGGTAACGACCACCGATACCGAAAGGACGCTCAGCGCCCTGCGATCTCAATTTTCTCCTCGAAGAAGCGAATGCGCCGCGTAACACTCGGGACTGCAACAATGTGTATTCTCGCGGAGCGTGTTATGGGCTTCCAGGCCGTCTTCCGAAGCTATCGAGAATTTCCCCGCCGATATTCGAGACCTCTCCCAAATACCCGATTGTTCTCTGTCCGTCTGGACAGAAGACAGAACCGAGGATTCTGGTTCTGTGAACGATCGCTTCACAAATCTCGAAATACGCCGGCAATGACTCTGAGGGAATGTCCCTTTCCCCGATCGCCGTGCAGCAGCGCGGAATACGTGGATGCAGGATGTGATCAGATATAGGCGTACCATTGACTGTGTGCAGATGATGTGTGTACAAAATGATTTCATCTATCGGCTTGCCGTGCGTGAGGCGTTGTCCTCAACGAGAGCTTCGCACGAAATGCCTGCGGCTAGCCCTCACTGGGCGGACAGCGAAGGAGCTGGGGCGAGCCGCCCGTCTGCTCGGAATCGAGCCCGCGGTAGGTCAAACTCGAGACCTTGTCCGGTGCTCAGCTTAGTCGGCCAGCTCGAGGCTGCATGTCAGTTCTGTTGGGCATACTTGTCTTGGATCAAGATCGACTCGAAGCCGATCGATGGTTCGCCACGCGAAGCTAACACTCTCGCCAAATCGTTCCCCATGCAGGCTATGATCCTCATGAATAGCTCATTTGCGTACATAGTATTTGTCAAGCTGCCTTGCCGACATCGTACGATCGTCCCTCGCCGTAGACAGCGAAAAACGCGGGATATGAAATCGGATGACCGGGAGAGATCTCGATGCAGAGTTTTCGTTCGTTATCAGCACGAGAGAGGTCAGAATGTCCCGGCACGGCCGAAGTTCGTCGGGCATTCACCACTGTTCGAACAAGCCTGTTGCTCGCCGATGCGGAACCCCAGCAGGAGACCTTGGCCGCTGAACAACGTCAACTTCTATTAGCTCTATCAGAGACCAGATATTGAGAGCTGTCATTCTGAATGAGGATGCGTCGTGATATTGCCGATATGATTGTCAAACTCTTCTGAGCGAGTAAGGGGACCGAACGAGTCGCGCCCATCACTGCCACTGAGACTCCTACCGCCGCCGCCGTCTTCCAGCGAGCCAGAGCCGAATACCGTGTTTACCATCTGCTTAAGCTACTGCTCCCGCTAGCGCAACTGCCTCTACTCCGAATGTCCGACGGGAAGACGAACTGGAGCGCACACAACTTCCATGGGTTGGCCTAGAGTCTGCCAAATATTCCTCAACCGACGTCGCTGCTGTTGCTGCTGCCGCTGTTACAGATCGCCCGCTGCCGCTGTATAATAAGTTTTTATGCGGAACACTCGAGTGCTGTCACATCTTAATTCGCTCTCTCTGAGGATGATTCCTTATTCAAACAGATCTCGCCGACGCAAAGTCCTCGGAGGACGAGCCACGCTAAAAAAAACAAACATGCTGTAGACGACGCGACGCTACCTTATGAGGTCGTCGTCATCACCATCATCATCTGCAGAAGACCCCGCCGAATTCAATGAGATGTTTGTACCCAGGACGAAGCGCAAACAAAATTTTCTCAACCGCGGTAGGGGCACGGGAGGGCGAGGGTAGCCTCAGAGAGTCAACGAGTGTAGAACAGGAGACTGCGCATGGTTCTCGAATTTCAATGGCTCATGCTGAACGAGTATCGATAGAAGTGGAAGATCTATTTTTGTTCTCTGGGATCTGATCGTGGGACACATTCCGTATTTGGTCCTCTTCAAACGAATGGCCGGCTTGAGAATTTCCGGAAAATATAAGGACGAGTAGACACTACAAAAATCGCGTTTCAACGATGCGGCATCGACGCTCGCAACGTTCACTAACACCTCTCATTCTTCGATTTCAGTCGTTGCCGTGGTGCCAAAGCCTCAGCTTGCTGTTCGGCCTCCTGTTGCTGTACTCCTGTTTTGCTATTTCTGCCGGCCAACAGCAGCAGACGTCAGCCGCCGTCTCTCCACTGACGCCGCACGGAATTCCAGCTCCTCAGTCGTTAACGCTCAAGCTTCCCGAAAGATTCTATACGGAACTGAACACAGAAGAAGTTCGCATCGACTACAAACCAAACGTTGGCCAGCCCAGAGCGAATTTCACGATAGGCGTCAATGAAGCGATCACAGGTAAGGATATCGTCGCTGCATTCTCATCATTTGTGGATTATATCCATGAGTTCGGGATCATTCGTGCTCGCTTCCTACCCGCTCTGTGTGAGCATCGGTCGCCGCCGCTGCCGCAACTCATTGTGGGAACTTCTCCAGTCGCTGAATATTCGTGGGTGGTTTCACCACCAGGCTCGCGATGGCGGTTTTGTTTCTCGTAGGGAAAGCAGTGCCGGCAATGGCATCTCTCGCTCGAGAGCAAATTGCCACTTACTCCGCCGTGGAAGAACGAAATCACTACGGCATCGGAAATTGTCGGAACTGGCCGATTCGATTTGTGGCCGAAACTCGAAGAATTCCGAAGCCGCTGCTGGAAGGGAAAAACTATTTCCTTATAGAGCATACCTCCCGCGTAACCGCTCTTCGGGTTGAACTCAGTACAGGGTTCCGGAGGATGCTTTTTAGGTTCTCTTGCCGAAGGGATGTAACACCACGCACGTTCGAATCGTAAGGCGACGGTCGATATCCGGGTTGGAGGTCAACACGCTTCAACGTTTTTCGAGACGGAGCCTCTCGGATACTCGTCTCCAGGAATACTCGTTTCTGTCGCAGAGCGGCGGGATCTCGTTCCGTCGTTCTTGTGTAATTTCCGTCGATTTTTTTCTTCGCGCCAAGCTTTCTTTCTTTGGAAAGACTTCGTACATGACATATATTCAGCCTCCTCTTGTTCAGGCCAACGGATGAGATCGCTGTGCAGCAGAGGTATACGGCCCGTGATGTCTCATGCAGAGACGGGGGACTCCTTCCGCGGAAGTCCGGGTTCCGAGCACAGTTCACCCGCGACGGGATAAGTTCTCGTCGCGATGGACCTCGGCGGATGCACCGTGGATCCGATCGGCTCCAAGCGTGGATCCGCGTTCTCTCCTCGAATTTTGTGGGGGACGGTCCGTTTTCCGGAGTTCAACTCGATCAGAGCTCTCGTGCATATCTGCAAGGTGGAGAATGACTGTGTTCGGATTTCTACGCATTCTCTGCCTTCTCCGATGACCTCGAATTGCGCAGCGATTACCGCTTTCACTCCGCGGTTCTCACCGCTAACCAGAACACCTCAACCGCCGAACGAATCGCGGACAGACGGAACTGTTTGACAAGGGAAAAACGTGGTCTCTGACCGACCGAGCGTCCGTCAGACAGCGAGCGAGCGAATCTGACAGGATCCCATGAGATTTCGATATGAACGACTTCAAGCAGTCGTCGTAGCCTGGGGTTATCAGTAATAGTCGAAGAAGGTAAGGAGCCGGTATTGGCTCAACAATGCGGCCGCTTTCCAACTAACTGGTGTTCACCCACTCATCCTCGTGGAGCTTCCGGTAATGAAACCGCGATGTAATTTCGTCCCCGCAACTCTAAACGAAGGTACCCGAAGAGCGGTTCTTCGTCGATGATACGAGGTCTCGGCAACCTCGATCCCACCTGCCGGTTGGTTTCGAGCGCTCGCACAGAGCCTCCTCAAATTGCGCGGGCATGTTTGCGGGACCAAAAAATCAACTTTTGGAAAACATTAAACTTCGCTTAATACGCGCTCTTCCGAACGTCTACGAGGGATGAATAAGATATATCCAGCTGGATGGCTTTATTCGGTGTAGGAGCCAGTGCTTTCCACAAAGCCCTCCTTTATGGCCGTAAGCAAGATTAGAGTGGGCTTCTCGGAGAGATATTATGTCGAAGGAAGTACCCGCTCTTCAATTTTTTCCTCCCCCGCTCAAACACTTGAACTATTGCCGAGATCGAGCGAGGGAAAATCCCGAAAACGGTGTCAGATTTTTTTAAATTGATGAGTCTCTAGGTGGCTCCGACCGCGCTCATTCCAAGATCTGGTTCGGGGTGTCTCGTGGAAAGGAAGTCGCAAATTAGAAGTTCATCCTTCTTCTGGGCGCCGGAATCGGAGAGCAATCCCCCTAGAAATATTCTCGATTGGATTACGCAGTCCCAGCCGAGTGCCGAGCTTGGACACCCTGTTTCTGAGTGTCTCTTGTTCCTCTTTCCAGGTTACACCATACAGAATGTACTGCCGGGCTCCGAGTACACTTTCTCCTTCTTCGATGGGACGATCTTGATATATAACGAAACTCAGGATTCGGAACCTGAGGTTCCTTTCAATCTCAGCGTCGTGCAAACGGAGTCGGATAAGGCAGCAACAATCTACTACGATCCGCCGGCAAATGGAGGTCACACAGGATTTAGGTGGGTTTTCAATTTCATCTCAAGCTATCGAGAACTTCGGTCATCAAACGGAACAGTGCGGAAAATTCGGGGCGGAACCTCATTCCGCGAAGTTGATTCGCGACGGAATCATCATCACAGTGTGTGTCGCCGTAGCGGTACGAATTAAAACATGGATCCTCGTGATAATTTCCTCCGGGATAGCCCGCTATAATTGAAGGCACATTCCAATCGGAATGCATCGGATACGACCGATACTTGGTGTCAGAACCCTCGACGCGTATACTCCCGTGTATGTGCTCGTATGACCGCCGATCCGAGTTATCCCGCGGGGGTTCTGCGGATGTTACGTTCAATTTTTGTCGAAGAACTCGAATCCAAACTCGAGCACTGACTGGCCACGAGGAGGGAAAATCGTCGCGTAGCCAGCCGGTGGACGACTCGATGGGAGAACAATGTCGCAGCACTTAGCGCGACCAGACTACGAAGCACATCAAAATTCCTCGTCGCGCCATCGATGCATCGCGACAGCTAGACTCCGAATCATCTAAGCCTTCGTGCTGCGGCTCGGAATCAGGGTCGATGCCCATCGGGGCGACCTAATGCATAGTTATTGAATTTCTCCTGATCCAGAGTCTCTCGAATCTTGAATGCGTCGTCGGTCCATAGAAGTCGCCTTGCTTACTGTTCTAATTTGGATCGGAGGCTTCCTTATCGGTGAACCCGCCATCGACGTGCGATGGGTCCGTACGAGGAAGGAAGCCTCCTACCCTTGTGAGGATCGCTCGATGACCAGGTTTTCCCGCCCGATGTAATGAAATCGAATCTGGTAGACAGCAGATCGAAAACAAGCGTTCCGAGTTTGGGTATTCCGAACTAGTCGCGGCGTCCCCGTATCACAATCATCCGATTGCTAGGCTATCCACAACAGATCGTCATTGACGGCACGACGTGATATTTTTGGCCGGAATCTCAACGAAGCGAGGCATCATTGTTTGGCTGCTTCTAGTCAAGACCAATGCTTTGAATAGAATATTTATTTCGGACCTCGCACTTCGGATGCTTCTCCGCTCCGGTATGATGCGCGACAGAGCCCAATAATTGAAACGAAACCACGAATTGTCGAACGAAACGAAACACGTGGAGGAGGGGGCGGCTGTTACCGACGACGTGGGGGAAGGGAGAATAGAGGAAACATGCTCGAGCACCCCAAGGTTACCCGAGAGGGAAAACTCCCATACGGACACGTTTTTCTGCGGGACGACTACGGCACGTCGATCGTCCCTCCCCGTATTCGCTCTACGAAGTCATTATAGGAAAATATCCAACTTGTCCAGGAGGAGAGTTTCGAACAAATGCAGCGATTAACGGCGAGTTCGTTCGGCAGGCTCACGACTGCACCGGAGTGCAGCACAGACGAAGGCGGGGTCCGGACCCAGCATCTTCCAGCAGTCACCGCAGCTTCTCCGGAAAGTCCCGGGAAGAGTGAAAGGATGACCACAGTTCGGGATCTCACTCCGGGCTGTACTTATGAAGCTCAGCTATACTCAGTATTCAAGGAGAAGGAGAGTTCCCAGTTTCTGTCGTTCAATTTCACCACGAGTGAGTACTCAATGAGCAGAATGCGATCTGAACGACTTTGCGAAATATTATTATTCGACCGCAGTAATCGTTCCCCAATAATCGAGAGCGGAGAACGATGCTGGCTCGTATCCAGACATCCGATGCGAGTACAGAGCTGTTTATTCCTCTCGGAAGAGTTTCGAAGAGGGCTCGCTCCTGCCATCATCATGATCGTCGCCGTCGTCGGCGTCCTTGCGGTCGCCGCGATGCTCTTCTGGCTGAATAATTAGGAATAGCGTTTGCGAGCATAGAAAAGTAGGAAGCACGTTGATGCAACGAGGTAAATTGTGCCAACTTGCAAAACGTGCTTCACCCTCGACGCAGCTCGAGCCGCGCGGCAGCTCGAGCCAGAGCGCTGGAAGATGAAAGATTATTATTATTGTTGGTAGTAGTGGAAGTGGTAGTAATGAGCTGAGAACAGCCGCTCACTTCGCCCGTCCCTGGCGTATTTTACAGAGCCCAACGCTCCTGGCCGTTTCATCGTGTGGTTCCGAAACGAGACGACGCTCCTTGTCCTCTGGCAACCTCCCTATCCGAGCGGGGTGTTTGACAAGTACAAGGTCCGTATACGTTCCCTCCCTAAGCTCGGCCGAAGGATTATTTCTCTGTCGACGGATGGAATCAGGTTCCAGAAAAGAGAAAAAGTTCCGCCCTCACAAAGGCTTTGATCATTGATTCAAAAGCGTCTGAACTCCTTTCCGCAGGTTTCCATCTACCCGCAGGACTCTCCGCAAAGTGTTCTGTTTGTAGAGAAAGACAACGATCCACCAGGTCCAGCTCAAGCCGCTTTTTACGGCCTAGTGCCTGGAAGAGCTTACAACATTTCTGTACAGACGTTGTCGCGTGACGTGGTCTCACAACCAACAGATGCTCAGTACAGAACAGGTGAGCGAATAAATTCATCACAGCCCCGTGATTCGTTGATACGAATTTCAAAAAGTTTGTCAACGAGGGTAGAACTTCCTCCATGAGCTCCGCCCATAGAAGAAATCGGGGCGTGTCTGCTCGAGAACGCACGCAGCGATTTTCGCTCTGCTTACGAAACTGGATCGGATTAGAAATGAAGAGATTCCAGACGGGATTCCTCGACTTGTCAGAAGGGATTCCACAACCTGCCCAGCTGTCAAGCTACGAACTGACCTCTGTTTCGCAAAACACTCGGGACCCAACGCAGAAGGAAGACTTCGCCTGAGAAGCTTGCGGACTCGCTGCTGTTGCTTGCGCAGTCGCCTCAGCACCTTTGCCTTTGAGAGCCGCTGGATGTAGAATTTAAAGTGAACATTCATTACTCAAGGGGACAGCGCTGAGGTCTCTAGTGCGCTTCTTCCTCGAAGTAAATGCTTGAGCTGGCCGACTCTCAAATATATTGAGCTCATAGAACCCAAACGATGTCAACGAAGATATTCTGTTTAGGAGTAATTCCGAGATACAGTTCCGTGAGGGTGCGCGCTGTGCTAGTAACTTGCCGTCGGGAGTTCTCGGCTTCCCCCCCCCCCCTATCCTATTTCACCCAAGGCTCTAGGGGATTGACACAACGCGTATGAAGGATGGTCAAGCGAAAGTTACAGAAAGAATCCGTCGAGCTATCGCGATTGAATTTTTCTTCGAGACCTCCAACCCAAGTGTAACGGCACCCTCGTATAATTCTCATCGATTTCCTCCCTTCTCGCGCAGTGCCTTTGCCGCCGACGAATGTTACCTTCGACCTGAATAAGGTGACGACGCGATCGTTCGACGTCAGCTGGTCGCCCCCGAAATCCTTCTCGGAGTTCGATCGCTATCAAGTGGCCCTGAGCGCGAGACACTCATTGAGGCAAGTTGTGGGCAAGGATGAGGAGCGTCGGGCAAGATTCGACGAGGACATCAAAGCTGGAGAGAGCTACGAAGTTCTTGTCAAGACGGTATCGGGGAACGTCGTCTCTTGGTCGGTCACCGGGAACATCACAACTCGTAAGTGCTAGTTCGTTGCAACGTCGCAAGCCGTCCCCGCAATCACTCGGATATCGAGAGAGAGCGAGAGAGACGGGAGCGTGGCCTTTGAATGAGCATTCGATGCTGGACCTCATCCTGTAGTTTCGAATTTCTCAAGTCAACTCTCCACCGTACAGGTCCGCTGCCCGTCGCCGCTATCAATGCGACAGCGAAAGAATCCGGCGAGATCTACCTAGAATGGAGTCCGGCACGCAACTCGACCCAGGACAGTTTCAAAGTCCGGTATAACGAACTGGAAAATTATCAGAGCGACAATGTTCAGACCGTAACGAATACGTCATTCCTGCTGCACGATCTGTTCCGCGGTCGGAACTATTCATTATCGGTGACTGCCGTCAGTAAAGGCATGGAGAGCGAGCCGTTCACCGTCTACCAGGCTACACGTAAGTCGGACTATTCCGCTATCCTTCTCAATGGTAGATCCGAGCCGAGTCATGCTGAGCCGGGTCGAACGACGCCGCCGCTGCCGCTGCGAGCCCGTCCGTTCCGAACCCCTGGTGCATTTGTCGCCGTCGCTGCAACGAGACGCAAATGTTTGCTTTGCACACCAGCATATCTGCATGATGTAGAGTAGTTTTGCAATTCGCTCTCATTGCAGGTCCTTCGCCACCTGTTATCGAGTCACTGGAACCACTCAGCGGTCCGGGAGGATTCCTGAACATATCCTGGAAATCCGACGTCACGAGCCGTCAGGATTCCTTCGTGGTTGTGAGTAGCACGGGGTGGAATCTCAAATCTGGACTTGAAAATTGTGTCTCTCCCTTTCAACACGGAGCTCCGTGAAGGTCGTGGATTACGAGAGTAATCTCTCTTATCCAGGTGTACACTCGAAACGATACACAGGAACAACGCCAGGAAACAACTAAACAGAATTGGCTGGTCCTGAAGAATCTGTATCCTGGTGCCGGTTACAACATCAAAGTTTCGGCCATTTCTCACGGCCTCTGGTCCGAACCGCATTCGTACTTCCACACTGTTGGTGCGTATCCCCGCTGTGCTCCCTCGTAGAGTTCCTGGACACTTGAGCCTATGCCGCATGATATTCCGCTCCGAATGGAGATGCTTGCGTGTGGACGAGGGGGAAAAAACTCCCGAGTCGAATGACTGACGAAGTCGAGTCGATTGACTGAGGGACATGTATCGACAGAAAGGCAGATCGTCTTTTGAGGCTTGAGACGAGGGGAAATAGAATGTCTGCGAGCTTTAGATAACTCACGTTGGCTATGAGGTCTGATTGCTTCGGAATGCTTGGAAGCTGGGACAGATTCGCTTCGCATTTTTCGGAATATATTTTCATGCGAAAATGAGACTCCCGCGAGAATACGCATGGAATTCCGTCGGGAAGTCCTCAGGCATCGTGGAAATATGGGGCATCGACTAATCCATCAGACTCGAGACGATGTCATTATGAGCTAAAAACTAAATATATAACTCAAAGATATAATTAGCTTACGCCAAATACTAAAGTGCTCGAAACTAAACTGACAAACTTGTCACGCATGCTTCTGGAGACTTTGAAACTGATCCACTCACCCGAATTAAAGGGTCGTACAAAGGTAACTCTTTCTGTTCGTCCGCGTTCGCAGCGTTTTGTGCGTTGGTCCCGTTCAAATTACCAATCCCATGTAGCCGATGATAATCGGTCCCCGTTTTTTTTTCTAACCCCCCATTCGAATCTTCAACCCCAAAACTTCGAGGCGATGACCTACTGGCCAGTTTTCGAATTTGCTCCCTAATAACTTCTATCGAGGAACGCGGTGGACTCGAAAAACGTTGCCCGTCGGAGGTCGAAGTGCGTTTTGATCCCGTTAGTTTCAATCCCCGTGCATCTTTCTAACATTTCTTCACATAGTGCCGCGTCCTCCGAACAACCTGCTCGTCACGAAGGCGTCGAACACCTCGATGATATTGACCTGGATCTCGCCGGTCAACTCGATCGTCGACCATTACAACGTATTGATTCGAGCTTCGTCCTCGGACACTTGGAAAGATCTCGGATTTGTGAACACGACAACGTTCGAGATGAACGACTTGATCGCCGGGGAGAAATATTCCGTGAAAGTGAATGCTGTCAGCAACAAGGCCGAGAGCCAGAACTCTCCGGTCATCGAGCAGACTATGTGTGAGTATTTACGGAAACTTGAAGCGATGGCTCTCCCGAATTATTTGATTCAGCCTCAAGTTCGAGCGAAAGTTGTTCCAAACACGATGTTCGTCCCCGCAGATCCGAACGCCATCACGGACGTCAAGCACTCTGTGGACAGTAAAAATGTTACGTTCAGTTGGCAGAGGCCGTCGGGACGCATTGATTACTACATTGTTGTGTTCAATCCAGTGAGAGATCCTCTCGCACACAACTCTCACCAGTTCCCCGCCAACCAGACACTGGCGGGAGAACCGGTGTCAGTGACCATTGAGAACCTGAAGCCCGGCGAGCTCTACAGCTTCCGCCTGTACTCCGTGAGTCATTCGCTGCGGAGCGAGGGCGTGGGCGTCGAGACTCGGACGATGCCCGTAATCGATTCCGTGATAAACATCGTTATCGATGAACACGCTACGAAAACCTTAGGCATCAAATATACCCCAACGCCTATCCGGAGTGTCGTTTTCGACCGCTACCGGTTCCAACTGCTTAGTTCGACCGGCGATTTCCCCGTTCCGCCTGCACAGGAGAAACTATCGAACGATACGAACCGTCTGGTAGTTTTTGACAACCTGATACCGGGTCATCTGTACAACATTTCGATTTGGACGGTATCCGGAGGAGTTTCCAGCATCCCAATTTACAGACACACCCGTTTATGTGAGTCCCCGTAGCCTGGAATAAGGAGACGATATTTCGATTCCTATTCTTGAATGTGCATACTCCTGACTGATTTCCATATCGATCGTGTCGCTTACGTTCTCGGTCCCGATTCCAGATCCTGATCCCGTGAGGTCAATCCGAGCTCTGACGGTTACCGACACGGAAATCTCGTTGACTTGGGAACATTCCGGAGATGCCATACCTGGGTCAGGAGACCGTGACGGTTACGAGGTCCAATACCTCGACCATCAGGGATATCTGGTGCACAACTTCACACTGATCGAATCGATGACTTACGTTAACCTCAAACCCCACCATAATTACACGTTCGTAGTGGTGGTCGTCTCGGGCTATGAGACTTCCACGGTCCGGAGGAGTTTGCCCATGTCGCAAACATTCCAGACTCTGGAGAGCGTTCCCGGGAAAGTTCACTATTTCCGCCCGATCGATTTGCGACCGTCGCAGATCACACTGGAGTGGTCGCTGCCATCATCGGAGCAGAACGGTGTCCTGACGGGATACAAGATCTCCTACTACCTCAAAGGAAGTGCCAATAGCGAGCACAAGTACAATATTTTCGCACCGAACATCACCAACGGTACGATAGGCAATCTGGTCCCCGGAAAAACCTACGTATTCGAAATCCAAGCCCATACGAAGATCGGGCCGGGCGGAAAAGCTCACTCTGAAGAAATCATGCCCATCTGGGCTCCTCCGAAGCCGTCGGACAGCGTTTACCCAACGCTTGTCTCGCATACATCAACTTCGATCAGAGTGCTGTTCCGGAAGAACTATTTCCAGAACACGAACGGCCCGATCTTGACCTACACGTTGATCGTAGCCGAAGACGACAGTCTCACACCTTCACAAAACCCCATGCCGTCGTGGAACGATGTACAGGGCTTCACCTACTGGCCCCCCTATCAAGTGATGGAACCGTACTATCCGTTCAACGGAACCATCACCACCGAAGATTTCATCATCGGCACCGAGGACTGCACTGACAAGACTAGACAACGGACGAGCGTTTATTGCAACGGCCCACTGAAGCCCGGTAGTCAATATCGGATCAAACTGCGCGCCTTCACAGGACCTGACAAGTACACCGATACAACGTGGTCGTACGCCATACAAACCGATCCGGACAACTCATCGCTGATCGCCGGAATCTTCATTCCTCTGACAGTGCTCGTATGCATCACGCTGATCCTTCTCGTTCTTAGGAAGAGGAAAATGGGTCCCTTCAACCCTAAACCACCATTGAAAGATGATCCCGCCACTCATAGGTCAGTTCCCGAGCCGAGACCCGTTGCCCTGCGTACGGGGAGAAACCTCGAGTCGAACCTCTACCATTCCATTTCTCGCTTCATTTATCCGTTTATTCGTTCTGCGATTTTTTGCCCGTTGCCCGCGACCGTCACCCTCCCGCCTACATGGCGCGGCGTGACATCTCCTGCAAAGCCCCGAGACTAACTTTCGCGTCTAACAGCGTCTTTTACAGACACGACCACGGCATGAGCCTCCCCGAGAATCCGGTTGAAATAACGCGACCGGTGAAATTGTCTCTGTTCGCCGAGCACTACCGACTGTTGAGTGCCGATTCAGACTTCAGATTCTCCGAGGAATTTGAAATGTTGAAACATGTCGGTCGAGATAGACCCTGCTCGGCGGCCGACCTGCCCGTGAACAGACCGAAGAATCGCTTCACGAACATCCTACCGTACGATCACTCGCGAGTGAAACTGCTACCCACCGATGACGAGGAGGGGTCTGATTACATCAATGCAAACTACATCCCGGGTTACAACTCGCCGAGAGAGTTCATCGTGACGCAGGGTCCGCTACATTCTACTCGGGATGACTTCTGGAGAATGGTCTGGGAGCAAAACTGCCGTGCCATTGTCATGTTGACGCGATGTGTGGAGAAGGGGCGGGAGAAATGCGACCATTATTGGCCTTTCGACATGCAGCCTGTAAGTGATCGATCCCATGGGGTTCATGGGATCAGGAGGGAAAAACAATTCTGAATTCCCTCCCAGTCTAGAACAACAGAGCACAGTATCCCCGCATTCGAAATTCGCGAGCATTTCGCATAACGGGACCATTGCTTCTCCAGGTCTACTATGGAGATATTCAGGTGACCATCCTCACGGAGTCGCAGTACCCTGATTGGACGATCTCCGAGTTTAAAGTTTCTCGAGGGGATCAGTCCAGGATCGTGAGGCACTTCCACTTCACCACGTGGCCCGACTTCGGAGTCCCTGACCCGCCGCAAACACTTGTCAGATTTGTCAGAACGTTCAGAGAAAGGGTGAGCTCATCGACTAACAACGATCGTCCTGATATCGAGAGATCGTTGACCTCGAGGACCTTCCCCCAAATCGCGATTTCCAAGGAGACAAACATTTCATCACTTCGACCTTGCAGGTAATCCCGGACAACAAACCCATCGTGGTCCACTGCTCGGCCGGCGTTGGACGTTCGGGTACCTTCATCGCGTTGGACCGAATCTTACAGTCGACGCGAAAACTGGACTTCGTTGACATCTTCGGCATCGTGTACGAGATGCGGAAGGATCGCGTCTGGATGGTTCAGAACGAGCAGCAATACATTTGCATATATCAGTGCCTAATGTGCGTGCTAGAAGGCACGGAAGAATTGCGCCTGCTTCATGAGAGAGAAATCCACGACAACAGCGCTTTCGAAGGTAAATGAGAGCTGTGTACGAAGGATTCTAGACCGATGTTCACCTGTTCATCGTCGGTCCGTTTCGATCGAATACGTAGATGAGATCCTCGGGAAACTGTCTACATAGATACCTAGGCACATGGAAGCGTTCACTCGACGGTCCGAGTGCGTGTAGGCTACCAGTCGGCTAATTCGTACTAACAAAACCTTTTCACGGCAAATTAGTCGCAAAACTGAAGGACGATTCCGATTCGGATGAAACCAAATCAACGGTGTTAATCGTGGATCCCGGGTGGGTGGAATGGATGCAGACTCTTATCGTAGTCGAGTCCTTGCCCCAACGTCTCGAAGCTATCCTCTACCCTCCCTGGAAACCCCAAATACGTCCCGAATTCCCATCGATCAGACCTGAGCGAACATTTTGATTTGTGTCATCGGTTCCCTCCTCCCGAGTCCCGAATCCGCCAAGCGAAAAGTTTCGCTACCCATCCCGCGCTTGATAATCTCCCAGGAGAGAGGACGCGGAGAATCCCACAGAGCATGATTGCACTACAGATTCATTCATCAGCCTCTGTTCGATTTTTCTCCTTCACTATTCGCTCAGCTCACCGGAGAACTTTGCGAATGAGTTTGCTAGTCTTAATGAACACCTGAAAAATTCTGACTCGCACCGTGCATGGCTGTCACGAGCCCTCAATCCCGACAGCGTAGTAGCCCCCTAGTCGCACCCCATGATGGCGTACCGTTAACGTTCGTTAAGATCTGCGTATTTCAGATGACGAGGGGATAGCGGAGTCTGGGATCTGATCTCGACGACGGACACGCATCCGGAAACCGAAACGCGGTCCGACGGCGAGTCCCGGACGCCGCCGCCTGCCGATGTTTGTCTCCATGATATCGTCTGACAGCGGACTAACAGCCAGGAGTGTGTTTCGTCAAGAACCTGCACAAGTACACTGAAGAACAATCACGATGAGGCTGAAGACTCCTCAAGCTGTAGCGAAAACGATTGGACAAATCCTCATTGGACGTTTTGAAGCAATCCAGTCGAACAAAGCATCGTCAGGAACATCTATTGAGGTTCTTGCCGGACCTCGCCGAGGCCGTTACTCAACAGAATGGAACTACAACAATCGGCTGAAGTGCTCGCTGCACCTCTGTGTCGTCTAGTCAATGCCAGCAGGAGAGATAACAAATTAGCTCACAACTAGCAATACTTGAACTGAGAGAGAGAGAATATATATGACACAGGAACGGAAGGTCGACAAACAGGTTTCCGCAGAAATGAAATGTGAACTTGTCTCACTCAGACAGACAGAACGACGGAGATCACTTGCCTCCTTAGAGAATATGATTCCTCGTCCGCCAAATTCCACTGCCCGCACGGTTGGATTTTTAAGACATCAAAATGGAGAGGGAGTGAAGCAGTGGCATCAAGTGTGGAGTAGACAAATACATGGGGAATTGTTCATCGGACGACTGCACTGTCGGGAGAGATTTGTGACTGGACACGTGCCCATAGCTTTGCAGAGCCTCCCCCCTGCTCTCCCATCCGCTTCGGGTTCCCCTGGACGCTTTTCTAGAACATGGGCTGAAAGTCATGTATCTAAATGCCGCGTCATCATTTTTCCGCCATTGTCCCTCAGCGGACCGAGAGCCTGGGCACGCCTCCGCTCGTGACTCACGGCGCGTGCGTTATGCGATGGGGAATGTATTCTTGGTTCATCAGAGAAACAATCGTATCAACCGCGTGCCCGACGAACGGGTATGGGCGTTGGGAATTTAGAATTTGGCAGAGTAGCGACGATGGAAAAAGCGATCCGAGAAGTCGAGCCCCGCCGCCGCGCGATTTTGTACAATGTGGTCAAGGAGAAAACATCGAGTTGGCCATCTAACGTTGCCGGCTCCTCAGAAGGCGATGCAAATCCTTGAGCCCAACGAGACCATTAGGGGAAAGCATAAATTATCGGGTTTGTGAATGTGTCTGGAGCGGATCCGAGAGAAAAACAATTCGTGGAACCATTCGACCGCGGAAACTTGGAAAAGTCAAATCAGATGGATTGTACTATTTTTGAGGCACCTCGAGACGCTTTTGTTTCTCGAGACCTATGATCGTGGCTTCGGAACATCCCAGAACGCTACGTATTAATTGCATGCGCTTTTGTTCGCTGGTGTTATCGATTTTTATGAGCATAGAGACAACAGCAGCAGAACGAAAAATGCATATCAGCTTCGATATCGACTGATCCCCAGCGATTCGTCGGACGAGTATTTTATAGTTTTTGTGCCAGACGAGTTCAGCGTTTTCGCCGGTGTGACAATTAGAAATTCAGTCTCGGCTGCTAGATAGAAGCCTGCGATAAGCCAGGAAAATGTAAGATAGGGGTTGAATGGAACGAGTAAGACTGGCCTTCGTCGAGACATCTTACGTTACTCAATAAATGACCTAAGTTATCGTGAACCGAAGAGACTCGTCTTGAATTTTCCCCGTAGATGCATAGCCCTAGCCTCCGGATCTCGATGGCGACTCCGCTCACTCTATAATCAGACGACGATGAATTTGGTTTCGACCTCTCTCGATGGCAAGCAAGTTTGGGAGGGACGGATGACATGAAATTTTCTATTTATTCCGGTCCAGGCCAACAGGGCCAAGCGGAAAAATATGAGTCATCAATACCTATTGGGTTTTCTTGAAATCTTCTCTCGCTTTCTGTAATGCTTTAGGATCAAGGAGGACGTCTACGCAGGTTTTCGCCATTGCTTTGGCCGCGATCAGAGTGTTAGGCTGAGCTGCGTCATCCCCGGCACCGTTCGTAAACTCCTAGATAAACGATCCAGTCTTTGAGTCATCGTATTCTCGGATTTCGGACTATTCGACTAGGAGCGAATTCAGACGGATGGACTACTTACGATCGAATGGTTCGGTCCTTTCGCATCGATGTGATATATGGGTTGTATGGTCGGTACCTGCCATGACACGTTTCCTATGTCTGATGTGGCGAGGAATTTCCCCAGTTTCTCATCTTCGTCGAATTTCATTCCTGGAATGACTTCATGCATTTACCCCATTGCTGTTGAACTTCCACGAGGGTGAATTCCCCGAGATCGATCCCTATACCATAACGACGATGGATATCCATGTGATGATTCCGAGGGAGACGATTCTCTTTGAGCGAAAATTCCCAATCTCAGGCTCACCTTCGGCTTCGCAATGTTTACGATAGTGTTCGCCTAGAGTCGCGTTCGTCCGGAGCGGCAAGTATTTCGGATTAGGGGTCGACAGTTTAACCTCGGTATTGCTCAGGAGGGCTCCGGCTCGTGCGCAGTCTTCGACCCTTTTCCCCAGCTCTTCGAGTTCCGGGATGGTCGGGGCACGGTAGTAGATCGATAGAGAAGCGTATTCAGGCACAACATTAGCCGCAGCGCCTCCGTTCTTGATGACCGCTGTGGATAAACTCGGTGACTCAAGAAGTCGTCTCAGCAATACATTTTTGAGCCTTTCCGTATCGGCTGAAGCGAAGCATGCCCCGCCGCACAGTGGTCAAAAATCGATTTCTAGTTGGACAAAATTATTCGGTCGTTTTTCGCCCATATCTCAGACTTGAATGGTTCAGACTTCCCGATACGATGAAAATTAGGGACGGATGACCCCCCACAAGGACGCACCGACCCGAAAAGTTGCGATTTGTATCGATACGACCGAGGGAAAATTCTTTCGTGGCCGACAATAGGCGAAAACCTAAATTGCTCATTTAGGACCTCTGCCCCGGCTTGCCCCAGGATTTTTTTTTTGTAAAGCCCCTCAAGCCTTCCGCTTTTCGAAGCACATCTCCGATTTCTGCGCATTTTTGCGCTAAGGGCTTTAAAAAAAAAAAGGCAAATTTTCGCTGATTTTAGGTCTTCATCGGAGACATCGAATTATAGCCGGGCATGCTTCAGACGAGATGGCCTGGGCTGTCTTAGAATATTTTTTCCTCCCTTTTACTGCTCGTGGGTGACCATAGGCGGAGATACCGGGATGCAGAATTCGCTACAGGCTTTGATCCGCTTCGATTGTGGAGAGAGATTCCCTCTTTTACAATAGCATGGATATGGATCCCGATCGGTGCTCGCGATTCGGGGGCGAAGCGAGTCATCTCGGCGATCCGACATCCAACAGCTCGTTTCCAGTATTACCGCCGAAAAGCGATCTCTTGAGCGCCAGCAGACGATGTTCCGAGTCTGACTCACGGGCAAGCTGGCGCGGTCTCCACTTCTGTAGGAAGCTGGAAGTCAAGCAGGAAACCACGTGCATCGGGATCGCTCTTCGTTGTGCGCTCTCGGGCTGAGCTTCACTGTGCATCGAGACTTTGTAAATCAAATATCGTCTCCGCGGGCGAGCTGGAGGTCGGAAACCCTTTCCGAGTCTCACGCCTCATTCGGGAAACGGAACTCTATCGAAAAAATCATCGAAATAATTTTGTCCACCTAGGAATTGATTTTTGACCACTGTGCGCCGGTGCTATCCCGTATTATCTATTTCAACACACCGTGCACCTTGCAGGCCGGTCGGACGTGCTGCCGGAGCATGGCCAGACCGTTGTAGCAGGTCACGGCAGCGTCGAGTGCATTCTTTCCTTCCCATGGATAGCCGGCCGCGTGGGCCGCTTTCCCCTGATACTCGACTATCAATTCGACGCATCCGATGAAAAGCGGTGCGATTTCTGTCGAAAGCGGTGGAAAATCGTCAATGATGAAGAAACGAGGCTCCCCCTGCACTGAGAATCGAGCCGAGAGCGTGCGGACGCGCTGCAACTCCAACGCGAAAATCACCGCCCACCGTTCGCTGAAGCTGCAGGATGAACCATCATGGCGACATCAATGTCCGTGAAAGCTCCGCGCTCGATGAGAACTTGTTTCCCCGCTCCTCGTTCCTCGGCTGGGGTCCCCATCACGACGACCTGAAACATTCCCAATCAGAAACCTTCATGGCGTCTTACCCGAATGATGAATTTCGCGCTTGAAAGTTATCCACACCTTTCCTTTGACGCTGGGGTTATCCTCCAGGAAGCGCTTCACCGCAACACCCGCCGCGAATCCGGCTTCAGCGATGAGATTGTGACCACACGCGTGACCAACACCCGGTAACGCATCGTACTCGCAGATGATACAGACCGTCGGTCCACCTGAAATAGGCAGATCTCTCATCATGAAAAAGATATTTATATCGGACAGAAGGATAGGAATGGAACGTGTGAACGATGAGGATCTCGAGTGAAGATCGTAGAGCAAACCGGAAGATTCACCTTTGTCTTTCCCATACGTTGCTAAGAAGGCGGTATCGCAGTTCAGGTAGCTGCCGGTAACCTCGAAACCCTCCCGCTCGAGCTCCTTGACCAGATACTCGTGGCTCCTGTGCTCCTCGAAGGCTAACTCGGGATTGGCGTGGATGAAGGAGGATACGGAGCGGAAGAGGTCCTTCGACGTCGAGAATGTTTTGTCGATCGATGAGTAGTCCATCCTGCTCGTTTTTCGATCGACGTCACGTTTCTAATCTGAAGAATTCGGTCTCAGCGAATGGTTTCTCGGGAGGGGACCACGAGGGAGGGGGGGGATACTTCGGCATGAGTCTCTTGTCGGGCTTATTCAGTGATCAGTTGCTCATTCAGCTTATTCAGTATCGGGAAAGTCGAAATCTTTTTATCTCAGGCTGTCTGGCCGATATTTCAGGGATTTTTCCCCGGGCTCCGCGGAACCCCGCAGCACCGTTTCCTAGGCTATGCCCAAATGCATATTCTTCCAACAGGGCGGAATCATCGATTCCCATCGATGAAGATGCTTAGGATGCATTAGAACACCAGAATAGAGTTCAGATGGGGAGAAATCCAAAATTATCGGCTGACTGATGGAAAGCTCACCGAAGCCCAAGGTTCCGGCGACACCCACTCTAGAAGCCTATGGGTCTAGACACCGTAGAAACGGGGGTCTAGAAACGGTTCGGGGAAGTATGTATGACGGGGAAGAAAAAGGAATTTCTGACTTGAGCCGGGAATCGGTCCGCTGACCGCAAAGCACCTGACGACAACAACTCCCGAATGAATGGCGATATTGATAACTCCCGCGGTGAAAATATCTCTCCAAACCCGGAGCTCTCCGACGAGAAAAGAGAAACGAATAACTCACTCCGGGGTGGCGGCGCGAGAACTCGTTCCGGAATGTTTTCCTGAACCGAATGCTCCCCAAGCTCGGAGCGCGTCAGCACCGTGCTTGATAAACAAACGAGCACATGTGACATGGCAGGGAAAGAATATAGAGCGAGGGAGATCATCATCCGAAGAGGACGCTGCGCCCAGGAGCTCGCGGGCCAAGGCCTCCTCTGAAAATACCCGCATTCTACAGCCTCGAGTAGAGCCCGACCTCACGGAAGTCTCCATGGCTTTGATACTCACACACATCTTACCTTTTTGAAGTCTGCTCGGAAGAAGCGTCTGGTGTTGTAGGCGGCTCAAACAGTCACCATGGAAAGTTTTCCTTTGCTAGGTAGCGCACTGTCTCGAACGAGGTGGCAAGTAATGCGATCAGGCGAGCCGTCTGTTGGTAAGGGAATAAGCTCCTCCACCCAGCGATTTACGACAGCTCTCGATTGGAGTGGTAGATACGACGTTTCGAGGTTATCGCGCGCGCGCTCCGCATGGAAATTACTGCTTGATGCCCGAGTTGTTTGCTTTCTTCGTGAGTGTAGAAGAGGACTTCCTGACGATTGGCTCACTTTCACGACACGAGTACTATGCCACCCAGACCCTGGAGTGCATTTTCGGTTTCTGACGGCCGGTGCAGGTCATTCGGGCTGAGAGTGGAATAGGCGAATAGGCAACTAACTGGGCGGAATGCCATTGAGGCCCGGACCTTTAGGGCGCGTGACCGTTCGGGTGAGGAGTCTTTCGGAAATCGGAACCCCTACTAATTGCAGAGTCGGGTTGAACACCGGAATATTAACTTGTTCATCCTCTCGAAGTCCATGAAGATGGAATCAGGAATCAGAGCCGGCCACGCATCCTTGAGGAGGGGCAGCGTCCTTGAGTACGTTCCAGCTGTTTCGTCCGGTGGTAATGCTTATGCGACCAGCAATACACATTGCGATCGTTCAACGAGGACGACGGAAATCTGACGAGCGGGCGAGCGGTCATTGAAGCTACAAGATTCCATGGGGTCAAGATTGAATCATTCTGATCGAATGAAGAGAATGAATATGAGCGTCGATGTGAGTTTACCTGGGAGGGAAACTACGGCGCTGAGCTGAACGTTCCGTCGGCGTAGAGTAAGTCAAGCATCATTGAAGCCGATCCATTCTCTGGTTGATCATTTCCTTAGGATAATAATCCGGTCACCGGAGTCACCTGGCCACCATCACGACTACGGAAATCCGCGACTCGAAAAACGTCGGTGTGCCGAACACGACGGTCCTGTGCTTATTGATCATTCGTGCCATGTCGGAGCGATCCGACGGTTGAGCCGCACTCTCTGTGCCGTGAGGATTGCAGAAGACATCAAAGATGATGGCGGCTCGCTAGTTCCTCCACATCGAGTCCCTCACGTACATACGGCCGTCATGGATTTACTTATCACGTCTTTTCTGGGTTTTGGTCAGTTTTGGGTTTTGGGCGGGCATTGCTGCTGATGGAGCTCTCTACGTGGTCCAACGACTTACTCGAAGTCAACGGAATCATTTAGCTCTTGGTCTCACGACTCTAACTAGGTGCAATTGGAATATCGAGCAGCTTACAGAGAAGCCGTCGATTCCCCAATCGTGGACTTCGGGAGCCTGATCTTCATAATCCCGAGATAACTGCACCGATTCGATTCCGAGCAATCAATTCAATGGGCTTTCACCACATCCAGCGCCTCCCTCAAGTCTCCATCGATGGACAACATGCGTTGAAAAGTATCCGTAAAACCCGGGATGCCCAATCGCGGGTTCTGAGGGGGAAGACTCGGGCTGAGACAAGCTCGGAGGCATCAATCACGTGGTAAGAAACAGAGCGGCTACTTGGAGTTTTTCACAGTGCTCGTCAATGATTTCCACCGAGTCGTTCTTCGAGTACAGATCCAGCAAGAGCTATCCTCCGAGAGGATGCTCGCCTACCTAGGTGACAGAGTCCCCACTCTAAGGACGCGCGCACTTATTCGGACTCTATTGATTGAATGGTGCCGGATTCCTCTCCGTCTTGCCAAGCGACGGGGCTCGTAGGCTCACCGCACCCGATGCCTGAGTGTGTTGAAGCCTGAATCCTTGTCTCTGACTCAGAAAACTCAAAGCTTCTACACCTATATGCTAATTGAAGAGCCTATTTCTAACAGTATCCAATCTCAGAATTTTTATTACCGTTTCATTTATGTGAGTTTAGTGTCGTAAGTTGAGGGCATTCTTGATATCATTCTGATTTGAGGATGTTCTTCCCCAGTTTTCCAATGTTTTCTCATTTGCTCACCCTAGATTCGGATCTCTCCGAGAGTCAATCCATATCCGAAATCTGTACACTTTGCTTAACCCGAATGCTAGAGAGACGACGCTTAACAGTAAAAGGTACATATTCCTCCGATAACATTTGCTCGTGAGTGTTCATCCGGTGTTATCGCAGTTCCGCTACCACCTCCCTATCCGAGGCGATTCGGCAGAAATGAATTTTTTAGCTCGAGGAGCAGCCGTGTATCTTCTCCGCCGGGTGGCTCATTGAACCCTCAAATTGAAACCTATTGACCCACATAGAAGGTCGGAGATGTGCCCACAAAGAGGGAGGTCCTTCGAATTCTCGAGGAGAAGATCAGAGCCTTCGGTAATGATTTTTCCCTACAATGGACTAAGGAAGAGATCAAGTATCCGATTTTTCCTAACACATCACGCGTCGTTCCTGGAGGACTCACTTAGCTCAAACCGAGAGCGGCTGAGGTTGCAACATCTGAGGGAGGAAATCATCGAATTCGGAGTCTTATCCACAGCCGCCCCGATTCGACGGTATGAGAGTGTAACTCGAAGGAACCGATCACCGAAAGCACGGAAATATCATTGAATAAATTATAATTTATTAGGCGAATGGCGATAGTAATCGCTAGTCGCCTAATCATGATCCCAGGGTATGTACAGTCCGTGCTGTGCCGGGGGACACGGCACAAATACTCGACGTGTTCTATTGAGTGGATCGAAGAACTAGAATTCAGCAGTCTTCCCGGAGAGGTCTTCGATCTCCTGCGAAGCAAAGACATGGATATTCCTGTTGGCGATCCAGGCAGCACGTGGAGTTAAGAGAAGAAAATGCAATTCAACGTTAGTGCCATGTTAGATGAGTCGGAAATTTCCTTCAACTCACAGTCGAATACATGCACGCATGATCCCAGCAACCCTCTGCGCGCAGGCACAACCCATGATATGATCGGACTCGCATTCTTAGATGCATGACTGCTCATTCGCTCCCATCGCGTTCATTTTAGCCTTAGATCTAACGAGATACTTGAAGAAGTTAAAGCTTTACCTTCTGGAGAAAGCTCTCTAACGACGCGTACGCGTCATCGCGGTCATCGTTGACGATGACGAGATCGAAGTTCCCCGCCTCGTCGCCGTAGGCCATCTCATCCACGGCTCGCTTCAAACGTGAACTGAGTGACTCCTCGGTTTCTGTCTGTCGGTTTCGGAGTCGTCTCTCGAGTTCCTGCAGCGACGGCGGCTTGACGAACACGTAGAGGGGGTCCAGATCGGTGTTCTTGATATTTTTGACGCCTTCGATCTCGATATCAAGAATACAGATTCTCCCTTTCTCCATGACGGCGCGCACCGCACTCTTGCTCGTGCCATACATGTTCCCGGAGAACTGCGTGTGTTCAATGAAGTCTCCGTTTTCGATCGCTTTCTCCATCTCTTCTCTGCTGACGAAGTGATAGTCCACGCCATTGACCTCATTCAGGCGAGGTTTACGGGTTGTGTCTGGAAGTGAAATTATTCGATTCAGGAAAGCATCATTTCTAAATTTAGCACAAGTTGATGGATGAATGCATTCTTGACCAGCGATAGTCCCAGATTCGCCGTCCAGCAGTTCGTCAGTAGTTCATTTAGAGGGAAGGACCTCTTGACCCCGCATCGATTACAGTCACTGAGTGGGTCCGCATCCAGAAGCTTGATCTTCTGAAGTGTAGAATCCGGAGAGCCGAACCGAAAATCGCAGAGGTTCCCTTAGTTGAGAGCTGCCACTACTCACGAGAAACGCTGAGCGAAAAACATTCGTTCGCTTTCAAAAGCCGTTTGAGTAACGTCGACTTTCCGCTTCCGGACGGACCGCATATCACGAGCGGTCGCAGCGAAGACATGGAGCGCCGTCCAATCGAGAGGTATCCTGGAAAAGAGAAAACTTACGCTCTAGACCTCGACAATGATTTTCGAAACGGTACGAGGACGCCGAAAATCGTTTCGTTGCGCGCGACAGACATCACGGGGACCAACCTGTCCTTTTAGCAACTTCAATCGGAATTTTACGGCGACCGATGCTTGATGCTCGGAACAAGCAAGACAGCATTGCTGCACCTGGTGATGAAACCGAAATGAAGCACGCTGGACAAACAAACTCATTCGGCCAGGTAGAAAACACCGCGGTATAAAGTATTGCAAAAGGCGCTCGAGATAGACTCTGAACGGCTGAAGAGCCGAGCTCCGCTTGATTAGCTGTCAAACATCGTAGCCGCCGGCTCACGTCTGCTACGGCTGTCGGAAGCAGCCTTGTCGTCGGCTCTGAGTCGACGATCGTCGAACGAAGATCTAAGCCAGGGAGTCTTGGACAGGAATTCGGGAGTCTGAATAGCCCGCTGCGGATTGTTTGTGGTTTTGACTGAAGTTGAGGGACAATTCCCCTTGCGATGTTGGGTTCTCACCGAAAGTCCGAGTTGTTTCGAGGTTTCGCTCTCTGACGCAGCACACGCGGGGATCGAGTGTCGAATACTTCGAAAAATTCGATGCTCGTGAGGTTTCGCTGAGTCCCCCGAACGAGAGTGTGCGAAAGTCTGTGAGGGTGGGTGTTGTGTTGGGAATATACCGAAGAGGCCGCCAGGATGCGGGCCAAGGTTTCAACCGACCAATACTAGGGGGCGCTACACTGGCGGCGCGGAATTTTCGTACAACTCATGTGTGCGGTGTTGATGTGTTGGTTCCCTATCTGGGCTCCTCGTGCGTTGTCGAATGACGAGACGCCGGTAGATATGTAGCGGAAGGCAGGAGGAGAACTAGTTCTTGTGCGGAATAAGGAGGGTCCGCATTGGATTTTTTCTTCGGGAAGGAACAGACAAGCCGTCGCGGTTTCCGATCCGCAGGCATGCCGTTGGAAGATGAATGCAGTCGTCGCTTGAGCGAATTGCTTCATCGGGCCAGCCGAACTCTTTCGATATATGTACGAACGCTGAGGCATCTCATTATAGCCGCGGTCAAGAGAGATGGAGAGCTCGGCGGAGGCTCCGAATCGCGAATTTTTCCCTCCTCCGAGTTCTAAATTCGAGACCTTCTCTATTTGGGCAATTGCTTCTAAGGCAAGCGCCTGGCGGAGACCATTCCTCCACGCCTAAGAAATCCGATTCGAGTGGCCTGAGCTCCCACGGAGGCATGGGAAAACACTCCTCCGAAATGTATCGCGTGCATTCGACCGGAATCTCGTGAGTCCCGGAGGATCCGAGCGAGCCTATGACTTTTATATGAATCAAAAAGCACAGCAGACCATATGGAGGTGAATGGCGAAACCCAGCTCGGCCCGGATAAATGCACACTGAACTCACCATCTATGATCCGCATGTTGGCGATCAAGATCTCTCGGTGAGATGACTGAAGCCGCGGAAATCAGTGTGATTCGTCTATTCAGTAACCAATCATGGACCAGGTGAGATGGTTAAGCTATGAAGCGAACGGGTTTCCGACGGATGTCGCCGTCGCCTCACGCGAACCAAGAACACCGACCAGAGTGTTGCGAACAACGAACGAACATCGCAGCAGCTTCGAGACGAGAGCTGGCTTTCCCTTTCTCGGCTACCACGTGGTCGTCGCTGAAGCGGTCGTCGGATATCATCGTGGAACGTTGCGCAGAGACAGCCGACCTGACGCCGAAAGCTCTCTCCGATACAAACATGCGAGAATGCTCCATATTCTCTCAAAATGACAAAGAGTCGAAGGTCATCGAGGTATCGATATCGGAAGCTGTCCACTTCCCTGGGAGCAGATTTCTCCGAGGCTTTGGAGCGAAATATACAATGAAAACATAAATTATAGAAATAGTGCAATATACACATTTAGGCGGGGCCTTGACCCGCCCGGCGGCGCGTCGGCAGGCCTAGGGGCTACTTGAAGAGGATCAATCGCGAAATTCATATTCTCGGAATGCGCGTCCGCTCTTTGGTCATGACACGACATCCGTCAAGACGATCGGACGCCGCCTCCATCTTCTCCGACCTCCTTCTTGTCCCGTGATTCGAAATATGAATGCTGGGCTGAGCTTTGCATACTATCGTGGCGAGCGCAAAAGAAAGCTCGTCATCATAGCACGAGAGGGATCTTCCGAACACTCTGTGTCCAGTGACGAGTCGAGTTTTTCTTCTCTTCCTTTTTTTCTCCGAGTCTTCCTGACCCGGCTCATATGTATACAGGAAATCTATTAATCATCGGACGTTTCCTTGCACGGAGCCCGATCGCGGATATAACAACGGTTCCGTCGAATCGGGAATTTCATACCATCGAATCGGGAGTCTGAAATTCGATTGGAGCGCGGTGAAGCTTTATGATACAAGCAGGGGCGTATCTAGCTTTATCCGGGGGAGGGGAGGAGCGCATGTCCGATTCCGGAGGATCAAGAGCCGAGAGAGATTATGAAGCGCCCGACCCTTATGATCTTAATGTCACACCGGAAGTTCATGCCTGCTCATCATCGATGAGTTTCGAGAGATCCACGCTATTCGCTCTCATATCCGTGAACGATAATTACGCAGGGCTTCACGCTGGAAATTCTCTGTAATTTTTCCAGGAGTGATGACCAGGAGTTCCGCTTCTCAATATATTTCGATATGGGAGGATTCGCGAGAATTCCGTCTTGTCGGCCGGCCTCAACGGACTGATCGGGCCTAGCCGCCGGTGAGAAATTCGCCCAGTCGGGACGTTGGTCAGAAAGGAATCTATATTTAGCTACGGCAGTGGTGTATGGGCTAGACAAGGCGACTTTGTCCTTCACTTCCTGATTCGATATTTGTCACCTTGGATGCGCCAGAACGTATCCCTCATAGTTCATCGACTACGAATAAATCGGAAACGACAGCATCCACAAACAAACGACCCGATGGCGACCGACGTCTTTCGAGGCAGGGCTTCTGGAGTTTGATGGTGTACAAACTTCCTAACCTGGGTTTCCTCACATTGTGGGTCGAAGACCAGCGTTCACCCAGATCTGATCCGGGTCAGAATGTTCGTTCCGCAGACAAGAGGTACACAAGCTTGAAAAAGTTTGGCGAAACTCTGGTTCGATCGTAGCACCTCATGTTGCCCGAGACGAGGGTAGTTCGGAATTTCCCACCGCGGGATGCGTTGTGAAGAGACACATTCTGTGGAGAGGCAGATATTACGACAGATAACCAGATAATTTCAAACACCCGGCTTTCCAGAAGCCTAACCGTCAGTCAGTCCAGCGGCCGTGATGGCTCATGATGACACAAGCTTCTCGATAGCTCTTCCAGAGCATCGCGCATGACGCGGATAGCGTTGCAGTTTGAAGTGAAATCACGCAATGTGACCTGAATGCTATACGATGAATAAGAGATCTACTCTGCGCAGGCCAAAGTATTTTTCGATTATCGAACGCCTCCGACGAATTCTCAGTCACTCCGTGTACTTCAGCATGGGGGAGATTCAGGTCGCCGGCCGGACTGACGGGCACGAGTTCAATGATGATTCTTCCTCAACGTGTTCCGACTCTTGTGAGCTTCTGTGCTCATCCGTTCTGTGTCATTCGCATCTAAATCTAGTCAGCGCTAGTCCGTCTCGAGGCTGAATCGCCGAGGCATTCCTCCTCTGGTCGCACGGATAAATCGCTTGCCATTACGTTTTTGCTCTGCAATTCACGAATCCGAGGCTTGACACATGTTCAATGAGCAAGGCTTGATGGACTTGCATAAAGACTCGATTAGTCATCTTCTTTCGACGGCGCGATCTCCCTTACAGAGTAGGCAGAAGACCTTCTTTCTTATTGAGCGCATGCGCCTCCGATTACCAGAGATGCGCTCTCTTGGCAGGGCGACGCGTCGGACGGTATATAAGGTGTCCTCTCACCGCGGTTCCTGGTTTGGCAGTGTGAGAGTCGGTGGTGCGCAGTCAACATGTGGAACGATTTTCTCGAGTTTTCTGGAGATTTCCGTGGAATTTCGGTGATCCGAACGAGCGCTGAGTAAGTCTCTTCTAGCGACGAGCTTCGCACGCTTTCCACGACCTCAAGCGTTTGATACTAGGACCCTTGAGGGTTCGAATCTTCTGTGTGACCTCTGAATGACCTCTACATATTGGTGTGTTGAACGAAGTGCGGGAAAGCGCTTGTGTATTTTCGGAACTCAGTGAGTCGAATGCCTTGATTCTGCGTCCCATCGATCCGAGGCGTAAGAAGATTACAAAGAGTGTGGGTAGCTCAGCGGCAGAGCGTCCTTTCGAGGAAGGTCATGGGTTCGAATCTCATTCCATGCAAATGTACATCTTCGGCGCTTCGGATTGATCTCCCGCAGATTTAGTTCCCACGCTCGTTCAAAATTCTATCTTTTTCATTCTATGCATATCAAATCCATATCCTCATTGGCTTGAGAATCGATCGTGCACCGGCAAGTTTCTCTACGATAAGCTCCACGCTCCCGAATGTACCGATCATTATTCCGCACCACATGTTCCCCACGAGATAGTACTCCCAAGTGTTTTCTCGAGATTTCTACAAGCTCACATCAAGTAGGTAATTCAGGATCATGTGATTCACGCAGCGATGCCCGATCCATCGACATCACCGGTCGGTTGAATCATCTGATCGAGCAGTCGAGTGACTGTTAAGTAGTACGTCTAGCGGGAATTGCCGCATCGCGTCGGCTCCTTCCGACTCGGGCTTTCGACAAGAACTCGGGCTTCACGAGTGGGCTACTGAGCGCTAGAACGCTCACGAGAGCCATGCCACGCGCGGAGATCGAGTCCCCGCCTGTTACCAAAATTAGATGAGAGTTCAGAATCGCGGCGTCAGTCTGACTAGGCCGAAGAGCGCGCCATACCCACGCATACCGCTCTTTTCGGAGAAGAGGAACCGCAGCGGAAATATTTACCTCGGGGCACCTGAGTGAGCCACGATTTTTCTTCTGATGACCGATAATTATTATTGAGCCTCTCGGGAAGAATCAGACCATTGAGTATGAGGATTGCGAAAGTCCCGCGCGATCTTCGAATTTCCTTATCCCAATCAGAATATCGGTTAGAGTTAGATACCCTCCTCGCTCGAAAGTAAAGATCCGTCCGTTTGGTTTATCTGTTGTGCGTCGCTTCGATCGCGTGCTTCTACGTCGCACGACACGAGTGCGAGAAAATATTTTCCACGGGATGTAAATGTCAAATGAAGCTTGGGTCGCTGAGAGCTTACTGCCATTGAAGGTTCCGTTCGAAGGACCCTCCAATACGCAGCGTGACGCCCTCACGAATAAGGTGTCTCTGCTCGAGTCGACGGAGCGTGCGACGCGCGAGCACGAGAGTCGAAATGTCTCAAATGGCGGATCCCACAGACACCCTAAACCATGAGCCTCTCGGGTTTCATCCAGAGCTTTCCGGTCCGAATGTTATCGCGCCCAAAGGTCGTTTTCCTGCACGAACAAGAGAGGATCACCGATGGTTACTTCGGTACACTAAACGCGAACTGAGAAGCTCCACACGAGGTGGCCGAGCGAGCGATATGAGATCCGCTAGACAGATCCTGACCTTATCAGCTGCTGGGTTTGTAACATCCGCAGACGAAACTTGACCCTTCTAATAACTGTCCTCAAGTGCCTCCGGGGATTTTCGCTGCGACGCGCTCCTCTATTAAAACTCGCAACCAAGAGAAGAGTTTCTTTGCGAAAGATTGCAGAATTGAACCAATCACGGCCGTGCAAGAGAATTAGAGCTTCAAATGTGCTCTAGCTGATCAGATTCGGTTGATAGCTGTCCCATGAGTCCGGGACGATATCCGCACATTGTGGACCTATCTTCAGCTCAGTGGTAGCTCTGATCTTCAGCGAAAACTTGTATCTACCGATCGCTCATCCTTCCAAGTCCGTCGCAGTGCGCCGCAGGCTGGAGTTCCTCCCGGCAGGAGCAAGCGGGAGGTAATCATCAGCGAAATCGACTCCGCCCGGACTCTCTGCTCAATCCCGCACTCGACGAGGCTTCATGTCGCATCGCGGCTCTCTCGACGTGAACTTGCAGGGAAGGAAGACATGTTGCGTTCCGTCGGCTGGATAGTGCCCCAATTCTCCTTTCGTCACCGGCTTCCATAGAGGGCTCGAGAATCTGAAACCTTGAGCCCCTGCCGGCAGCATTTAACGACGAGACGAGCTCGATCCGCCAGTGACGCTGACCAGTACATCAGCACTAGGAGATACCGTCGGTTTTTCCCTCTTTAGATTTCCTTACTCGCGCGAGACCTCTCAAGGGGAGGTCACCTAGAGAGAACCTCTCGTCGATTGGATCTCACAATTGTGAATGAGTGGGGACATTCGAACTAGGCTTTGCTCTCCAGGACGCTCGGCGGAATAAGAACAGTAACAAGTGATGTAGCGGTTTGAGAAAGGTTACCGAATGAGCTCCTCGTCCGTGATCGCTCTTCCCATGCCGTAAAACCGTTCGAAGTCGAAGATCTTCCTCTTTCCAATTAACATTCTTGCGCGATAAGGCAGGCTCGATCCCGGGAAAATCTTTTACGAAAGAGGGGGAACTCGGGCGAGAAGTAGTTGGTCCGGTTTCCCGATACATGGCGATGGGTTGGACTTTCTTAGATGACAGTCCCCGAGAATCTGTCCACATTGGGGTGAGACTTGAGCCCCAGACGGAATCCGATGGGGGCTCCTGGACAGAGAGGCATGAAGGGAGCAATGTTCGTAACTCGACTGGATCAACGATTTTATGATCGACTAGTGTCTGATTTCCCGAACGAAGGTCAAGGTCGATCGCTCCATCGCCTGCCTCGCTTCAATTATACCGCGGAGCTTTTCCGACAGTCATGGAACCAATTCTATCAACCGACCGGACCGGTCATCATCATACTACAAGAATCCGTCGGGCGATGCCTCAAAGGGGAAATTTCGATGATTCGAAGCGGTATAGTGTTTTCCGGAGTCGCTCCGGAGATCAAAGCCAAACCAAGAACTCCGAAGATTCCGGTAGCTCGAAATTGCTTGATAGATCAATCCAGAGGCAGAGTATACTGCTATCTCAAAGACTACATCAAAGGATGGTCAAGAGATCCCTCACTAAAACGAGGGTATAAAAAATAATGAGCCCGATCACGACCCGAGAATGAGATAGAACCCATCCTGAGGAGCGGTTTTTACGACTCACGTGCAAGGCATGTTATCAGACGGGCACCGATTCCATGGGGCATGCAGGCCAAATGTGCGAGCAAAGGTTTCCTGAGGTCTAACTTTTGGTTCGGAAACTTTCGGTTGGGAATCACTTACTCGGAGTCGCAAGAGCTTCTGCAGATTGTTGAATGGGCCGTCGCTTCGATCAGAGCGAGGAGGTTCCGAATGGAGAGACGGAGCCGGAGCGTTGGTGAACAGAGATGAAATTGCCCTACAGATTTGTTCCAGCCGACTGGACTTTGCTCCTGTGTCAGTCAGCAGTTTCGCAAGATGAACAATGAGCAACCTCCGCTTGATGCCAATGCTTCCAACTTTGCAATGCTGAAAATCGCTGTCGAAATCGTTTCGACTCTATGAAATACAGCTCGGTCCGGAGATTTAGAGCCACTGAGGGTCCCTGAATCTGACACTCCTATATATAGGCGTCTCGCCTGACGTGACCGTTGGCGGTCTCAGGAACTTCGCGAAAGTTTTTCATCGACCGGATGAATGATAATTATAAGTCCCGGTACACAAACTGATTACACTTCGGAGCCACGCTTCGATCTGGGAGTCGTTCTACCCGACAGGCATCAGCTTCCCGGAGAACAACCCCAGCGTGGCCCGAGAGCGCTCAACGGTGATGACGAGACCGAAGTTGTGACTTGCTCCAGCCGTCAGTGGTCACGGGGACCTTTAAGAACTCTCGGATCCAAGAGCGATTGACAATCAAGAGCGGCGCGCAATAAAAACTTCTCTCGATGGCTTCCGCTGCCCTCATTCGACGAAACATGGAAAGAAAGTCTTTACTGGTCTCGATCAAAAGCTATCAAAATTTGGAGTCACCTCCAATTCTGTTTCCGCTTCACCGAAAGCGAAGAATTCGAGGAAAAATTTCGAATCTCTCAATCGCCGATGGTTTGCGTGATTCGGGGCGAGAAAGATCTTCTAGATGAGAGCCCCTATTCCTCTCTTAGGGATGATTGTTCAGCGGAATCTGCCACCTCTGTTATTCAACGGGGTGTCTACTTTCGAGCATCTCGGGGAGGCCTGTCAAGGCCCTGCTTTCTAAGATCAGGAGCCTCGAAAAAATCTCACATTCCTGAAGATGACCAATTTTTTTATTGAGAAATATCTGTCGTCGCAAAAATAAAATTGCGTTGGAATCGATCGGATGATCTTCGAGACGGATCCGTTCCCTGCGAGCGGGATCATTGTCACCGAGACTGCCTCGACTAGGAATTCCTCTTTTTTTGCGGCTCGAGCTCCGTCGATGCGACACGTGGGTAATAATTCCTAGAATGCCTCTCGTCCCCTCTGGGCAATCCTGCCCGCAGCCTCAATCTGTAGTGGCGCCGGCGCCCGATTCACCGGGCGACGCCGAAAGCTTCCGGGGGATGTACCGGACCTGCTTATCCGACGAGCGTCGCAATCGCGATCAGTCGATATTCGCTGCCTCTAGGCTTTTTCACTCAGCCTTGTTTGAGAAGAGATTTCACCCGGGCTGATTGAGTGTTAGAACTCCGGCCTATCGCCCGAGAGACCCTCGATCTCCTGCGAGAGGAAAAGCCTGATCATTGATCTGTTCAATCGACCGAGACACGACACGCCCGCTTGAGTCCGGAGAAAAGATCTCGCCATCGAGCTCGGACAGTTTACCTTTCTGAGGAAAGTCTCCAGCGAGGCGTACGCAGCTTTCAGTCGGTCGTTGACAATCAAGAGGTCAAAGTTGCCTTGTTGTTCTCCGTACGCGATTTCCGTCAGGGCTCTTGAAAGCCGCAGATTGAGCGACTTCTCGGTTTCGGTTCCACGATTCCTCAGACGGTCTTCGAGAACTTGCAGCGAAGGTGGTTTTATGAAGACGTAGGTCGGGTTCAAGTCGGTGTTCTTGACATTTTTCACTCCTTCGATCTCGATGTCGAGGATGCAGATTCTGCCGCTATTCATCACATCGCGGACAGCGCGTTTGCTCGTGCCGTACATATTACCAGAGAATTCTGTGTACTCGATGAATTCTCCGTCGGCGATGGCTTTTTGCATCGCTTCCCGGGTGACAAAATGGTAGTGCTTGCCATTGATTTCCCCCGGTCGTGGCTTTCGCGTCGTATCTGGGAATCAATGCCCGTAAGTCGCATGTCCCCCGGTACCGGTTAGAGAGAAATTCAACGGGAGCCCGGATATCCCATCGCCGACGTCGGTGCCGACTCAGAGCTTCCCCGTATCCAGTCTCATCGTCAACTTCCGGGAGATATACCGCAGGAGCGCAACTTACGGGAAACACTGAGTGCGAAGCAATCGTCATGGTCGGTCAGCAGGAGTTTCAGCAAAGTCGATTTCCCGCTTCCGGACGGACCACAAACTACAAGTGGACGCGGAGGCGACATCGATCGTCGACCGACCGTGAGATATTCTGGGGGAGGAGACGATTCTACTGTGAGATACGGTGACGTTTACCGATGGGAAAGAATAAAAAATGCCCAAACAAATCTAGAGAAGACCATCCGGAAAAATGTCAAGCGACACCCACCATCGATGATCCGCATGATGACCGCGTAGAGATCGCTCAAAAGCTGAAGTCCTTAATGGAGGGTTGTGTCAAACTCTCGAGTCACGCTACGCTCAAGACGCTTCTGGGATAGAGTGATGCCAACTCGGACGGCTCGACTGCTTTTAGTAGAGCGGCAACTCTCCCTTTCTCGCTCACCACCACAACCACGTGGTAATGTTGCAAAATGACACACACCGAAAGGGAATCAATGGAGAGCCGCTCAAGATGTTGGTAAACGGGCGACGCTATTCTCGGGATTCATCCTCTACGATGATTATCTCGATCGGTCCAAGCACCGCTAACGGGGTCACGATTCGCGCTCGCCCTCCACATTGATTGACCGACGGATTGCCCGCGTGCGAGTTCGGCGTCCTGGCGCCGCGCCGGCCGCTCCCTCACTGTAAATTGAGCACTCGAAAAGACGAAATAGTATCTGTTGTTTTTCAAGGACTGGTGCCGCGTAGAGAAGCGCCTGGGAAGATCATTCGAGGTCGCGAGATTGTGGAGGGCCATCGGACTCCTTGGTGGGAAGCAGACTTTGACTTCAAGACGCTTGAAGCAGCCACCGTCGGTGCTCTCGTTTCCGTCTCGAATCGGCACCATATATAGTAGATTCGGGTGAACTTTTGCCGCTGGGGTCTGACTAGCTCCTCGTTCGAGAAAAACTTCCTATGTCGACCCTCCGCTGAACATCGCGAACATTCACCCCTGATGGGCTTTAGACTTCCAGAAACGCGCCCCATCGACTCCCGAATGTCCTGCCAGCGGAGTGCCGGACATTCAGAACATCCACCCAAATAGTCTCAGTCGGCTCAGTATTTCGCGCGTTTCTCGTCCCGATTTCGCTCCTAGTCATTGACATGAAGGGCACAGAGACGCCGTCAATGACTCGGTCGCGAATCGTTGGACCTGACTGAGTAAACATTCTCTAACATTGAGTAACTGTAGCAGGGTAGCCGCGGAACGGATGTTGCCTTGCGAGCGCTCGAAAAAGTATGACGTTCTGATATCTAGATCGACTGAATGATTCAAAATCTCGTGGGCTTCATGGCCGCCCGTTTCCGGAAAGTTCCTCTGCCAGGGTGGGGCCTGGATAGCTTGGATAATGATAAAATTCGCGTCCGCTTGAATTCAAGGAGTTGCAGTTATTGCATTGTCTTCAATTATTATTCGAGATCCGACACACTTTGGAGGTCTCCTCTCAAGAGACTCGTGCCGAGTGACGTCTTTCCATAAATGAGGAGGCTCTCGCGAGAAGTCGCGCGCTCCCTCTCTTGTCAGGGCACTTCTCCTAATCAATGAAGACGTGCGCCCTATAAGAAGGTCCTCCCACGACAGCTGCCGGTTTAGTCGTGTGAGTATCTTCGAAGCACGGTCTCTTTAAGATGATTCGGAGTCGATTCGCCTTTCAACGTACCCGGGTGGGACCGGTTTATGGAAGAAGCCCGAAAGTCCGATGAACAACAAGATTTCAGAGTTTTTTAGCGTCGTCAAAGCTTTTCTCTGAGCTTCCTCTGAGCTGCGAATTGATCTAAGCTGCCCATCGTCTCTATCGGTTGAGTTTGGCGTGCGTTCCGAATCGCACTCGATTACCGAGCGCTTCGGATGCACAACACCTCCGATATCAGACCGAGTTCCCGCGTCACTATGTGATTCGTGGGACCATCGAAACGCACCTCATCTCACCGAGTTACCGCGCCACCGCGGAAACCGTCGAGTTGTCTCGCACTCTGAGATGAATCTGCGCGGTGAGGGACCGGGCCATGCCTTGACGGCCTCGAATAAATGTGAGCAGCACGCTTCATGCGGGGAACACCCGACGAACAGACAAGAAGGTTCACGAGAAACCTCGGAAGTCAGACTACGAGATGTGTGCAAACAACTTTTGCGTCGCGGCTTGTTTATTCGTTCTCGAGCTCGTCACTTGGACCCGTACTGTTTGCTCTGTCGACACGAGTTCGCATACGTTGAGACTCGCTCTCGCGTGTTCTCGGGACTGCGACATGAAGGCGCCGATGAGGAAATGGACGCAAAAGAGGGTTGATGGTTCTCTTCGAGCAATTTCGGAGATCATGGAATGGGAACCAGGAACGCCCTTCGCCCTTGTGCGGGAAATCCCGCGGATGAGCTGGGAGTTCATGGAAGTATGATACTTTGCTCAAGCGATAGCATTCTCTCGCTGCAAACCCAAACAATCGAAAGCCGTCCCTCGTTGACGATCTCCCCTAGACTCGAAGATTGAAGAGCGTGTGATTCCATGATTCCGTCTAAGCGGCTAGCTCAACGTCCTTCCAGACCTGAGTCTGTCATAGCGAAGCCATTCCTTGGAGACGAAACATCTTGAAGGACTCCGTCACTTGAATAATGATCGATTGGTCCACTTCTCGCCGCGGAAAGTGTCAGTCCGCAAGAAGCCGTGACCGAGAGGATATTTCGAAATCGTTCGTGGGTTGCGAATCCATCGGGGGTAGGTTCGCTATATTGCGGTCCGAACTCATCTTTCGCTTTCGAGTGTCGAGTTGCTCCAAGCTCTTCAATGTGAACGATATGAGGGCCGAAGGTCTCTCTTTGTCAACAGAGATTCCCAACGACCGAAACGCAACTTTTTGAAACGCGACCCATTAGATACTACAGCACACTGAACGTGGAGCTGATAAAGAGCATTTCATTATTCTCGAAACAGATTCTCGGGCTTCCTATCAGTGACTATAGAGGCTGCGTCCGCGGGAACCGGTTCATTCTTTCCTCTCGAGATATAAACTCAGCGATCGCTGAACGCGCCTGGCTCCGGATATAAGTTTTTGGTCTTCAATCTCCTTCAAGGAGCCTCCAGCAGGGAAACGAAAGGCGATAGGTCCGAGTCGTGTTCGGATGGGTATCAGATCTCCTCGTCATCGGCTTGCGGCAGGCGGTCTCGAATGCGATACAAAAATTCTTGAACACCGCGGTGGCGGAACAATGCCTCGAAGGAGCATTGGAGAGCAAGGAAAGATGAGCCTTCCGGTTTCATTCAATGAAAATCACGAACGATCGAGCTCTATCCAGCACGAGAGCCCACCCGTTGAGCTGATATGACGACATGGAATAACTTCTGAGAGAAACGCGATGACTGTCTCCTAGTCAGTGATGCACCGACTACAGGTTTCCATCCTGAGATCGTCAAAGAGGTATAGTTTGTACAGATGATAGCCGCCGCCCCGACGGACGATGCGGCGCCTCTGACCCGTCTCAATCTTGGCCGCCCGCTCAGCACCCCGCCGAAACTTGCTCGGGTTCGACCTCGGATAAGCGCTTTGGTAGCGCTACATGAATCGAAACCCGGCACGTTGCGGTGGCCTTGGTATGTGATATATTTCAGGAATCATTCCGGGGAACGATTCCCCTGTTGCTCATTCGAAAACGAGAACAGCCGATCGGGATCGCAAACCCGGCTAGCTGATGCTATTCGAGGAGAGAGCCCCGCAACGAATATTGAACGAGTTTTGCAAAGATTGAATACTGGCAAAATCAATTCGGGCCTCTTTTTATCGTGAAACTGAACGAATCGTTGTTAACATGCCATTCACCGAGATTCTCGATGTCGTCGGGCTGAACACGGACTTATTGATTGCGACGAGCCAAACTGCCTGAGTAAGGATTTTGGGTGCGCTTCACGGTGATCATATCATCTTCGCTGGCGAGACGACGCCATGGAAATTACTCTGCATGGTGTTATTCGCTTGTTTGTATGGCTAGTATCATTGGGGGGATTCTCCTACCAGGCCCTGACGATGCTCGAGATGTATTTCAAGTACCCCTTCTCTGTTACTGTGGTTGAGCAGCTCCAGAGTGGAATCCTCTTCCCCGCAGTCACGATATGCTCCGAAAACTGGTGAGTGCAGACTGGGGACGCGAGATTGACGCCCGCGATGAGATCTCCGCAGAGCTCGGAAATCACCACGAGTAAGAATGCTAATCCATGAATCGCAGGATCAATCGAACCAGACTGTGCGAGGCATCTCCTGAACATTGTTCGGCGGATTTCTCCGCTAATGTAGGAAGTCACTACAAGATCGAATACGATTTCGATCTCCAGAACGATGTGGCTCTCAAACCCCAAGAGACCCTCGAGTGTTATATGAGATCGAATGACCCGACTTGTTTAGCTTTCACCTGTTTCGGAGCGTGAGTAGGACGAGGAATTAGGGCGAGTTTCCGTGATCGAGAGCCATCCATGTGAGATTCGGAATAAGAGGTACCAATTCGTTCGACAACGTTTTGAAACGAAGTTTTTCTCTCTCGAAAGTGCAGTGTACGACGTTCCTACTACCGTCATCCAGGACACATGTGTTATACGTTCGACCTTCTATTGACCGATGAACGTCGCGACTCTTACTTGGCGTGCAAGTCTCCCTGGACCTGGGGTACGTAACGAATGAACTCCGGGACACGCACGGTATCGAATCAAAACATGCCAATAATGTGTTTTCGACTCTGAAGAACTGACTCTCAACGTCATCTGGAGCGCGGAGAAGACCATGGCACTTCAGAACGATCAGAGCTTCCCCGTGATCGTCCACAGACCCGAAACGACGCCCCCCGATAAACTCTCCTCGCTCATAGCCGAAGCCGGTAGGCCTCTATCTTTCGTGAGGAGATGAATTCAAAGCGCGTGACTCCAACGGATTATCGAAGCGGTATTTCAGAGCGAAATTCTCCTTGAAGGTATGTCCTACGTCCTGTCGGTGACACAACAGGCAACTAAGAGATTGCCACCCCCCTACGCCTCGGCCTGTACGGACTACATCAAAGAAGGCATCGCGCTCGAAATGGGCGGCTATCAAAGTCAAGACGTGAGCCTATTCCGATGAGTCGCGGGAATAATTTTTCATTCAAAATAATATGAGACACTTTGAGTGTTCTCCATGATGCTGTCAGCTGGAGCATCCGATGATGATCCTCCATGATTGATGCGATCTTCTTCCCCGTGGAAACATCACAGGACCATAGCTTACTTACAGACCTGTTTGCAAAAGTGTCGAATGTCCCTAGAGAGCCGCTTCTGTGGCTGCGTGAGCCCCCTCTACGAATATTCAGCCTTCTTCGGGAAAGACCCGTGTCCACCGGACAGGGATGGTGAGTTCCACACCTCACCCATGGGGGCTCGCTATAGCTGTGCTACTGGAGATGATCGGAAGGTCGAGGCTGGGGCCACGCACGATCGTCAACTTTTCGGACACTGAATGTTTCAGAGAAGTGCCAGACTGAACTCGAGCAGAACAGGACCTACTCGAAATGCCACAAAATATGCAGAGCGCCTTGCGAGTGAGAGCTCTTATCAATTGGAAATTTCTCACCGTATTTCCATCTTGCTTTTCTTCTTGGCCTTGTGTCTGGCATCAGTATGCCCATCTTGCCAGACGAGATGAGTTCTCGTTGCGGTGCATTTGGTCGCCCATCGGTCAAATTGCCGAAAATGAAACACATTGATTTCAGAGAGACGAATTACGACGTACGTCTGACGGGCATGTCAGTCATACCGGTTTGTATTTGATTTCGCGACGACAGATGATCATTATCGCTCGAACGTCGAAAGAATGAGAGAAGAGGTTCTTGTGTCTTAAAATGAAAAATTACTTTCGTGCTACTTCAACTCTCAGGAGGGAACAAACGTCGGGTCAGTGAATAAAACGAGAGTTTCCTTAGGAAACATACATATTATCGGTCTGACATTATATCAATATTACCGATGAATCGCTCATCTTGGGCGCGCCTCGACGATTGAAAATCTCTTTCAATATGTACAGGTAAGTAGTAGACACGTATCGATCATTAGCCAGATGTCCTCTTCACAGATTCGAGCGCTTCTTCATCAAAGTGAAGTTTTCTTCGGACACGCAGAAAACCTTCCTCTATCAACCAAAGCTCTCGGTACACGACCAAATGGAATCAATTTTTAGAGCTGGCTGGCTACTGCATATATTCCAGCGAGTGGCCCTCCGATGATAATCTCTCTCGACCGACGTGCTACATGTGTTACAGATTGTAGAAGTATTCGGCTACATGGGAGGTTATCTCGGAATGTGGCTCGGATTCTCTCTATTCTCGATACTTTCCGGTCTTGAGGACAAATTCCACCAGTTCCTATTACGGCGGTCGGAGATACTACGCGGAATCACTGTGTAAGCCGAGCGGGAGCATTGAAGTAGATTTAGATTCGATTGAACTAAAACAGGTAGCCCCGGGATGTCTATCCGATTTGAGGAACTTTCCCCAATCTCGAGTAGAGGCACGACCGATCTCCACCAATCTGATGCGAGTAGTATCTGTCATTTCGAAATCACTTCAGTAGACCGATGACGGCGAACGGAACCTTCAAGCGAGATCCCGAGATCAAACCTGAGATCGAAGGTTACAACGACTCGGTGAGGCGGAGATTCATGGTCAGAGAGTGGGGTGAGTTGTAACTTTCATCGCGCGCTCCCGACATGATCAGAGTCTTGTATAGAAAACGACTTCAGGGTTGGCAACCGACCGATATTCCCAGGAGCGAAGACCCTGCCTGGAACAAACCAACACTATTGATGATTCGACAGCGACAGCTCCACTCCCATCAAGTTTGTTTCTCTTAATCCCGACGGAAAACCTCGGTCTGTATCCCCCATTTAGTCTGAAAGAGCAGTAATCCCGATGAGATGCGGATACGCTGAGAATTCTGGACCCGTTCGTACTCGCGTACGCATCGTTGTTCTTCAAGAGCAAACACGATGGATGATGATCACTTTTCAGATTTATTGATTCGGTACAATTGGTGGAGGATACTTCTGTTGGTAGAGCCTCAAAAGCTTGAACAGGACAATGAAAGACAGCCTTGTGGAATTTAAGTAGGAACGAACCCAGGCCGGATGCTGATAGTCGTTTCGGGCTGATTTGATCTCTCCAGATACACATCGTTTGGCCACATAACCCTGCACCTACGGTATCTTAGGAAAAATAATAAAACTCTCAAATCCGGCGACGTGTGAGGGCGTTGTTATTGCGATGATGAAACTGCGTGCTCACGGCAACGGCAGGCGCAAAATCATCGAGAGGATGTCCACTCCGGGAGCACTACCCCATTTGCGTAGATTGTCGCCGTCGTCAGTGGACTTAAATAATCAAGGGTAAGATACCCCTAGACAGTGAAACCCGTTTGTCTGGTAAACGTTTCCCCGTGTTAAATACTCCCAAATCACAGTGCGCTGGTTCGTTCGCGTCCGGCGGCGTTCCGACTCGGACGCTCGCACACAAGGTTTCGAGGGCATGAGCGCAAGACCGACACGTGTGCCTTTTCAAGTCGAGTCCCGAAGCCGAACCACCGTTTCGTCGTCGATCCTAGCATGGAACATCAGAGCTTCCAACAGAACTCCAACGGCGTTCCTACTCCCCGTCCGAGGCCGCAATGACTCGAACGGGAGTCGAGGCCCGCGGACGAAGATGCTCACGCCGAGGAGGAGTCGAATTCAAAGTGAAGAAGTTGGCAAAATATCAGCAAGTCAAGGAGGCATCGCCTTACCATCGTCCTCTGGGGTGACCTCCGAGCTGTTGTCCTCGCCGGCTGTCAATGTAAATCGTTAGCAAGCCTGACAAGTGCCTGGACGATCATCGAGGATGCCTCGACAAGACCCGAAGCTCTTTTATCGATAGGTCGTCCATATTAATTGGCAGGAGCTAGTCGTGGATCGATGCTCCCTGTCCAGGGTAGCGGACGGAACACTCGAAGCGATCAGCGAAACATGCACGATCGACGACAATGCGGTTGCTCGGTCATTCCTGCTCTAATTTCTTGGAATAAGCGGGTATATGCTTCCCGGGACGAATACTGAGGGAACATGCTCGAAACCTGGGCGAATGCACACAAAAGCCATGACAGTGTGTCACGTTGGGTTGAATTTACGGAATGGGGTCAAGATTTGGGCGGATAAACGCGGGTGGGAGCTTATAACTTTCCCGGCGGTTGCGAAGAGCACCTATCAGTTCGACGCAGAACGTTCTCAATAATTACCTATTCCTACTCGGAGGGCAGTCTTAGTTTCGAGAAAATCCACATCACTCACGAGGGTAGAGTCTCCCATAAAGGATGAGCTGAAATCTTGGCTTTCGAGGTTCCCAATCAATCGAGGAACTCATCTGCTCCAAGCATCTCAGTTTCGTTGCTGAAGTTGATAGTCTTTTGAGCCACACATACTCGGAGGTTCGATTCTGCTCATTCACTCCAGAATGTTGTATGTATCTGTTGCAGGAGTCACTCGATGAATGTAAGCAAACACAACCAACCGCACAAAAGTTTCCTGCTGCGTACAAAAGTACTCATATGTGTAAGCGGTGTCACCGAGTAGCCCTCTTGCTGATCCCTGATACTTCATGTGAAGTTTCGCGGGGACGTTTTGAACCGTAGGGTTGATATGTAAAATTAGAGTAGAGAAATTTTCAGTCGCTTAGGAATTTCTCGACGGAGAAAAATACTTTCGTCTCGACACTTTGATTGTGGTCATATTGCCTCGAAAGTTCACCCTCTCCAGAAATCGGTCTGCGGAGAGTTGAATCGACGAGCGAGTCGACAAGACAGCAAGGAGGCTCAGAGCCGGTATTCGCATCGAGAGAAACTGGAAGACGTATGAGATTCTCCTGTGGATCAACGAGCGTATACTCGGTCTGCTTGCTTCTCGGTGCTCGTACGACACTCCGACAGTACTTCGAAACTTCTAGGGCTCAAGAATCCGCGTGCCTTGTGAGGTTTCCGAACACTTGTGCCGGTTGCACGGAGAGGGCTCTACCTTGTCTGGTACTAATTCGCAACACAAGGAAGAAAGTATTGCTAACATCGACGGAACTATGCATCAACTCCAACCACCAACAAATTAGTGAATCAATCCGATAATCCATTAGTTGGTGCAGTAGTTCAACCGATGGATTCCTTGCGGTGGCTGGAGTTGATGACGTACAATGTATTGCTGGTGATGATAGAACGACAATGAGGGCGATGATCATGGAACCGAAGAACTAGTGAACTCGAGTCAAGCGAATGATGAGAATCAAACCGATTCTACGGGGCTCTGAAATTCGCTGAGGGCCTTAATGGGAGTGATGTTTTTCTTCTGCGAACCTTTTCGAACTTTTGCGCGAACTTCTTCGGGCTTTTCGCGTCGCACCAAGGGTTTTTTCTCGGGTGCTTTCATCTTCCAAACGACGATTGGTGACTGTGGATTCAATCGATTCGAAATTAGCTCCGGAGACTCTGATGCTGTCGGAGGAATATTTTGAATTTCTGACCGTACAAGTGAATTTTCATGCGGTATCGAAGAATAATTACCGTTACAATTGCTCCCTGTCGAGGATATTTGGTTGAAGCGACGTATGATGCCTTTACGGTCAGGACAACGGCATTCATCAGATTTTTGGCGGCTTGGATCAATGACGTCGCACTGTCCAACTGCAAGGACAAACGATTATTGTTACCCATCGCTACGAAACTGAACGATGTTCGAACGCCGTCGGTTCTATCCATGGACTGATCGCGACTCAGGCTACCGATTCGCGCTGGGAAAAATTGTTTCCACTTACGCCGGACACGATGAGGTTTCCTGAGATGTTCTGTACATCAGCTTTAACTTTTGATGTGATGTTCAGCTGATGACAATAGAGAGCGATTCTCTGGAGGTATGCGATCAGATCTTTTTTCGTATCAGATTCGGGACACTGGTCCGCAATGGATCGGGCTAGTTTGTCTAACCGCGTTCCATGTTCGCTGATCTTCTTCGCGGCATTGATGACGTCCATGGTCGTCTTCAAAGGGCCTTTCCCTCTGTGACGCGAAATAGAAACGAGTTTACTCAATATCCCCAGCCTCGGTTCTCTCGGAGGTCCGTCCGAGCATGAGACGTGGCATACCATCCCGATCATTGCCAGAATTACCTCGTGAAATCCGTCATCTCCATCATGATCATGCACATTTGTTTGGCAATCACAATAATGTCGTTCCCAGTATCGTCCCATTTGGCGACTTCTCGGTCGAAACGATGTTTCTCCGTGCGGAAGGTTTCGACCTGCGCCGCGATCTTAGCCTTTTCTTCTTCTGATACGAGTCTGTACGCATCTCGAGTGTTTGAAATGCCGTTGATATCAGGATACTCGTCAACGTCATGAGCCGAAGATTTGCTGCGAGTCTCATACGTGTTGTCCTCGTATTCAATCTCCGTCTCAGAGTCGAGTTCTTCCGCGCTCTGGAAGAATGCCGTGAATGCTCGTAGGTAGGTGAGGAGCGCTCGTTCGGCCTGAGTATCCGCTTGATTAATGCTGCCCTCGGAGTCGAGTCGGTTCTCGGTGAGCGAGAGCGAAAGGTGAAAATTCCACGAAAACTCACCCTGTTCATGAGCACGGTCCTCCTGATTTCTCTGACACCGTCGTACACTAACCTAGAGGCATCAATGAAGTCGTTCTCATCGGTTTGAGCGCCCTGGCCGAGAGCGGCCACGGCGGCGTCAACCTTCTGTGCGAAATTCGGCATAACTTGTTCTCTAAGAGCCTGGAATTCCAAATTCAAAATCTTGTATCTTCTGGAGCAATCGTGACTCTGTCAGCAATGATATGAATTGAGTATTGATGATCCATAACGCGTAACAGGAATGATATGGTGGTTGTTATAGACGACGATTAGACGATGGTTCACTCATCGATTCGGAAACGATGAGGGAGCAGTTTAATCACCTGAACAGCTTCGAGAACCCGTTCGGTGTATATCCCGGGCTCGTAGTTGTCCATTTCAGAAGCGACTACGGCAGCCACCCGCGCGGCTCTGCCTCTAATAGCGCCAGCGGTTCTATCAAGAGTTTCTCCATCCCCTTCCTGAAGAGCTAGGACGCACTTGTTCACATCTTCAAGAATGTGATTCTCTGAGACAGCGAGGAAATCGTCGATCGTGGTGATGTCGTCCACCGCCTCAGTCAGCAGCCGTACCTGGTTCTCCCAGGCAGTTCTGAACGCTTCAATGTTCTCCTGGGCGACCTTCGATGAAGGTCTCGAAGCCAGGATTCTCGCCGCGTTCACCACCTGTCGCAAGAAATGACGGGTAAGTAATCGTTGTATTTTTTCCCCACTCCTACCGAGGATATCCAAGCTATTAAACGGTTCTATCCAACTCTATCCAACTCCAACCGTGCTATCCAACTCCAAGCCTCTTACCTGGGGGCACAGCTGCTCGATCTGCGCTGCCGCGTGGCGCACCATCTTCACACCGTCTTCGTTCGAAGACATCGAGCAAGCCAATTGAGCTACTTCGACCAACTTAGCAGCGTGCTCCCGGAATACCTGTTGGTAGTCCTCCACCTGCAGTGAGAAAACCATCTTTTAGAATTCTTCCAAAGGGAGAGTGGTCTGTCGAGGTCCTTACCCGAATTCCGTAATAGTTAGGATGCCTTTGGACATAAAACGCTCCGCGACGATACTGACCTGCCTCTCATCGCCCGCTTGGGCTGCTTCGATCAAGATCAAAAGTGGCAGGTGGGGGTCCAGGAACGAGTCGCAAACGTGATCCACAACTGCCTTCCGGAGTTGTCTACGGAGATCACGAGTCTTGTGAGCCATTTGCTCCAAAGCTTTGTCCAGTCCCTCCGACGGCTCGCGACGACCTGTGTGTGGAGAGACCCTTGTCTTTACTCTTTCATAGGCGGAAAATAATTGTCCTCTACATCGATCTCCTGCGCATTTATGCTCTCAGCTGAATGAGGATCAGACTGGAGACTCGACGGCTGAACTCGTAGAACGGCAAAAGTTTCGCAAGAACTATCGCAGATACTCTAATAATAATCTACGTCTCTCAAGATCCGACCGGGTTCATGACCCAGAGCACCTCCGCCTCGAGAAAGCCCGTACTGGCGCCCGCAACTATCCAACGTTCATCAATCAATCGCTGCGGGATGCTTTCTCGTGCGATTGTATGCAGAGCTCCGGTCGTCAGGAGAGAGAATTGGGATTTTCAGCTTGGCCCGGAGACTCATCGAAAACTCACCTGCATTGGCCATGTACTCGGAAAGGAGGTCCTGTAGGGCCTGACGGACCGCGTTGCATTCGGCCACGATCCGCTCACGGCGCTCATCACGTGTGCACGCGGAGTCGGCCATGAGTGCGGCACCCGAAATGATCGATTCCAGACACTCTTCGAGTGCCGGTCTCGTGCGCTGTTCGGAATAGGTTGATGGATCCAGGAACATACGCTCCTGAAAGATTGGAAAAACATTGGAATCTATCGCAAGATGTCGGAGAAGAGACTCCCTACGGGGAACAGCTGCAGAACTTGAGGCCTCGACGCGACGAATAAAATTCAAGACTCACAAATGCACTACTTACGTCGAAGTCGTCGAGAGCGGCTGCGAGTTCGCCTGGACCATCGTATCCGTATTCGCCTCTACCATTGCTTCCATTCAAGCCAGAATGACGGCCTTGAGCAACGTCGTTGATGGTGTTGACGGCTTCGCAAACCTAGCGATATCACAAGTCGTTGAATATCTCCGCAGACTCAAACGATCGTAGACTGGGATCGACCAATTAGAAAATCCAACAACCCCAAGGAGACTCCTTGACGAGCTCCTTCAGTAGAATTATCTCCGTACGATTCTCCATTACCTGACGGAATACGTAATCTCGATTTTCCTTCGCCGCCGATAATTCGGGATGTCTGACGTAAACTTTCGAAGCTGTGAGGAGCATTGTCGAATTCTTTTTGAGGATTGCGCGAGCCGCAGCGAGGTCATCCCTGAGTCTCGGGTCCTTGAGTTCGGCTTGACGTCTTGCAGCCTGTAACGAAGATCTCATGAGTCTCGAGCATTCGGGGATCGGAAACGCGACCAGGAAATAGATTTCCCCATCTTAGCGGTCTCATTATTCTTGAAATCATGTTCTCACCTGTTGGATTAATTGTGATGTGTTCGATCCGAAGTTGCGGAAGAACTCCACGAGCTCAGCCTGGGACGACGCGTTCCGAACTCGTTCCAGATCATCTTCGACAGCTCGAAGACTACGAAGAAGTCTGTGCACGTCGACCATGTCAGCCAGGATCAGGAGTCTGGTTACTGCAGACAGCAGACTCCTGGCTGCTCTAACCATAGCGGCTCGCTTTATAGAAGAGCAGGGTTCCTCAGCGAACTGGCGTGCCGTTTCCGACATACCAGCGCCCGCGCTACGCACCTCATCGACAGCAAGCATCATCTCTTCCTTAATATCGGGGTTCTCGAGAGCGATTTCCTCCCCGCTGCGGATGAAGTCTTGCGTTGCTCTTTCAACGGCTGCGACGAGGACGTGCGCGCGTTTGGAACGTCCGCCAACCTTCTTTGAAGGGCCTTTCGTGTTCACTAGCGTCGTCACTTGCATTACCAGGGGCTCGAGAGTTTTCTCAACCGACAGGGTCTTAATTTCGAGGTTTTTGGGATCCCATTTGAGGCTCATACCCGAGCCATTAAGCGGAGATCCTCCGTTCGACGACGGCATGTTCGGCAGTCCGTCACCAAGCTCGCTTAAACTCATCATATTTGCGGATAATCGTTTCGGCTGCTACCGGAAAGTGCGCAGCCTAAGTGTGTCTGAAAGAAAAAAAATATCAGTATTTTGCACATTTTTCTCGAGCGATGCCTCGACAAATCCCTCCAGACTCCGCTCTCCCCGACAAAGTGTTCGGCAGAGCGACTGAGTCACAGGAGACCGATTGATTTGCTGGATCGCCAATCGAACAGACCATCCTCCTCTGTTCATTTGCTTATTGGATTGTCGATACCCGAGTTTCCTCCTCGTACCGGATCTCTATAACTCAATTTTCGAATCTTCCACTTTGTTTGCTCCCCAAGCAAAGACTTCCGCTTGACCGCCGCGCGAACTATCTGAGGACGCTCCCGACCCGTAAGAGAAGGGATCAACTATTCCAGGGAATTATTCGGGCTGAACCTTCATCGATCCGGAGCTCGAGAGGCCGAAAAAAGTTGTTTGCCATCGATCTGTATGGGATCTGTGCCGCGCATGATCCGGCATTTTCAGCTCTTAATTCCATGGTCCCATTCCTCCATAGGCGGTAGACGTCGCCGGTGAGCTTCTTTGCTCGATGGCCTGGCGTCGGTTCAACGTCCCTTAGGGAAACGCCATTCGCAAGGCGTTCTATTGTCAAGATGTAACACAGAAGATTCCTCGCAGAAGGGAGCTGACGACACCGTCACTTTTTGTCAATGCGGACTCTACCGGAGCTCTCTCCGGAATTCCTGAATCGGACGAAATATTCTCGATGCATGAAGCCCCTGTCGAGAGCTGAGCGTCCGCATAATCTCGTATTTTCGCCGATCATTTGCGCTAAATCACCGTGATAATGAATGACGCGCCAGCCTGGGCGGGACGAATTCGATACCCGAGAGAGAGATGCGAGCCTTCGGAAAACTTCACCGATAAGCGGCTCGCTCCTCCGCCTGCTTTCGCGCCAAGGCGACTCGTTATTATGATGACAATCATCCGGCCGATCGTTTCCTTCCTCTGAAGATTACGAATCCCAATGGATGTCCCACTGAATATTGTCGCATCTCGCACCTCTCTTTCCAGCCCACAAAGTCACATGTCCAGCCTTACCCAGCTCGGAGCCGCGGAGTTCAGAGCAAGACGCGAGACTGGGTATATTCCCCCCGTGACCGAAGAGGAGCCGCTCGGAACAAAACGTTCCACGACGTCACGAGAAAAAGTCGTATGTCTCAAAGAGATCATTAATCGAGGGCGTTCCGGGCCCCCAGAGAACATCGACACCGTGTAATGACAACCCGAGTCGCGGAACATCGTACGGCGACGGGATCTCACGGATCCAGGAAGATCTGGGGCGCAACCGAAAAATGCTTATATCCGGAGAAGGCTCCTGTATTGCTCAAAAAATTCCACAGTCCGCAAGACGAAGTCACTGCGGATTCCAACAGAAGTTGTGAATTCCCTTCGCTAAGCAAAACCGTGCATTCTCCACGTCTGTCTCATCTGAAGTTTCAACGGAGGCAGAGGAAAGAATGTATTCCACTACATTTACGGGGATTGGTTCTCAAATTCGCTTGTTCCACTCTGGGGGGAGCAAAGTCGTTCCCCATTCCTATGTATGTAGCACGGGAACGACCTTCCTGCACCGCATGCAAAAGCATCTTGGTGAGTCATGTCATTACAACCCCGGCTCGATTCTCTTTGCCTGCTTCCCAAATGTAGCGGCAGTGGCCAACTCATCCCCATCTTAGTTCTCCCTCCCCAAGTCCCTCAGCGGAGTTGACCGGCAGCATCTGCGCTCACTCGCTCGCTCGATGGCACTCCACCCGGCTTTGCACATTGAACACTCCATTCATCCAAACAGCAAACATCTGTGGGCCAGAGAATGAGCCGAACTTTGATCCCGCTCTACCTCGGAGCGAACTCGGTCCACGAATGAATTGCACATTCTCTCACTCGGTCCCTCGTGATGTCAAAACGGACTACTCTGCCTTCTCAGCTCCATTCGGTGTTGATGCGCCGTCTGCGGTGTCCGCCCACTGCCCACCACAGGTCGTGATCGGGTCGCTCATGGAACCTACCAGTGCATGGCCTACGTGGTCGGAACTTGCGCCCTCCCTCATAAGCCAAAGCCGAGCGTCTGAGGATGTCGGAAGCGAAGGTTGACTCGTGCAGGGAAAATACTCCTCGGCCTCGGAACATCTCTTTTCTGAACGCTGCTTTGGAGTTCGTATGGGACTGCACTTTCCGACAGGGCACTCCTGCGATCCGAAGTCTAATATGATAAAAAGAGCTCTCTGAAGGGAACCAGAGCTCGATCGGTACATTACTATCAATGCTGTGGCGCAGACTCGGATTCTCTTATCAGACCGAGCCAGCTGTTCGTTGCAGCCATGCTCATTCCGAGGCGAACATTTATTCGCATCAAAGACATTCATTCCACTCGACCCGCAGAGCGTGGACTCGAGACCGCCTTCTTCGTGTTCACTGCCTGCTCCTCCGCTTCCCCTGGTTCACACAAGAACTGTGGAGCTTACTCGAATGATCTCTCGCCAGAATTCGATTCCCGCTCGGATCTCCTCGCATTCTGTCGATGGGATTGGTCTCACGAGACGATTCCCGGCTAGGACCCGCCGATCGGTATACCGAACATTCAACACCCGAACTCGGGAGGGACGTGATCGTTTGGGAGCCCCACGGAGAGGAAGCGTACGAAAAGCACAGCGGAGCACTATTTTTATAATGTTGGATCTCAGGAATCGAGTTTCGAATGAATGCTCCGCTGGCGATCTCAAATCTCACATTTTTGGATTATCGCTCCGAGATCACCGAAAATAGGTGCATCCATCCGGTACCTAAAACACATGACGGTCACGTTTCGTTGAGTGTTGCGCGGGTGTAATAGTAGTCGACACAAGTTGACCAGGACGTGACCCGGGCCCGGACTCTTCCCATATCTCTCTAACCATTCCGTTCGCTTTCCCGGGAGCGACAGATCCGTGGCGAGGGCCATATCGGGCGGAATCCAGACCAAGTCTCACATACTCTCGGAGGGCAGCGGTTTTCAACACGCTCCTGACTCGTGAACGCTCAGACAAATCGAAGCCTTGGGACCGCGGTCAGGGGATTTCTCTATTGATCTCATCGGGGGAGGCTTCGCTCGGGCTCTCGATTAAAGGTTTCCGAAGCGAAAGCCTGATGCAAGAAGCTGTTCAAAGTATATACATGGATCGAGCAGGTAGCCGTGACGTCATAAAGACAAACATCGGACTGTCTGTAATCAGCAATTATTGACAAAGTAAGCACCATCAAATCGCAATGGTGGGCTAGGTCGTGCCGAGGCTACTGTGTGCCGTCGACCACAACTCGAACGCAATCTAAACGAAAATATTGACAACCGGAAGCGTTCCCCGCTGTTGACGGAACGAGTCCGTTCGGGTGATGTACCGGTATCCGTCCCCGCTATCGTCCGATATCGACGATTTCCCGTAGGGGGGAGGTATTCCACTGACTGAGTGAGCAGGATCGCTCCTCGATTTAGTGCCGGAGGGGCGGATCGAAATGGTTTGGGTGTCGAATTTGAAAGCCATATCGGCGACAGGACGGCTCGGCCTTACTTCCGGTCAGGACGCGGAATATCTCCATTGGTCAATTGAGTTTCAATGACAGCCGATGAAAAGAGCTAAAAAAACTAGTCAGGGAAGAGTCTCGGGTGCATGATCCCACGCTACCCTAAGTTCAAACATGGTCAAACAAGTGTACAGGGGGAATCGGAATCTTCGTCCGTTAACAAGTGGGGGATGCGCCGCGACTCAACGTGACGTTGCTCGGCCCCGGACTTCTGAATCATGAATTACAGAGCTTTCGGATTCGATCATCTTTCGAGGAAATCGCCTTGTCGGAACGGGCTGTGCTATGTATAATACATCCTATGTGTAGTTCCCGTATTGGATCGAGGAGGCGCAAAATGCTCACAATTGAAGAGGTGCATGTCACAATCCCGAGCTCCTTATGAGTCCGATGAATCCGGAAGATATCATACGGCCGAATTGAAGAAGACATGTAATAATAATACATAATAATAATATGGCCGATAATCAAGCAGGATTCTCGTAGAAAGCCCACAGATCCTGTCTCGGAAGCCAATCTCGGAAATATTCATGAGCGAATCTCTCCTTCGGATCGATCACATTGGCGGGATATTTGGGAACTGGGTTCAGCTGATCGCACGATGGCGAAATTCGAGAACTACCAAAAATTGCGAGGGAGGCATTCGATAATCGAACAATCGATCGAGTCATTGGACTACGTGAAAGTATCGAAAGCCTCGATCTCCTGGCATTGTGGCCGCTCGGCTGACAATAATTGTGGCGGAAGGAGCGTAAATTCCGGAGGGACAACATTTGCATGAATCTTGAGGAAACTCTTCTTATCCCGAAAACCTTCTTCCGAGCGAGTTTGACATTTCCGTAGCATTCTTTCCTGACGTCTCCGCCCCAACTCCGTTTCTTCACACAAGATACGTTGTCAACGGAAGGAAAAGTCGGTGGGAGGAAAAGGAAATTTTCAACAAGGAATTTTCAACACTTACATCGTAGCTCCAGAACTGCTAGCGTGTGCCAGTTCTTGAGTTTCCGGTGGTCGGCTCGAACACTCGAAGAGAACAAAAATGGAAACAGCACTTTCTGAACTGAGGATAGTGCGAAGCTCACACCGTCGCTCCGATGGGAGCCGTCTATTGTATTATTTTGACACTACCGTCTAATAGCCGCCGACAGCGAGAGTATCACCGTGGCGTCACAGCCATCATTACCGATGATTTTCCCTGCTGTTTGAACGGGTCCCCGGGCGCGTCAATGCATCGAGGGGATAAAATACTCGGCAATATTCTGCTCTCTCAAATCAGCCAATTCGAGATCGGAGCACTTAGTTGCGACGAATCGGAATTCGGATTTTCAATCGGTGGATCCATCTAGTCGGGGCGTGAGGTAACATCGTCTCCGTCAGGATATTCAGCTGCAGGGTCCACGCATCTGGTGTTTCCGAAAGTCGAGGTCGACGATTGTCCCGTCGAATCCGGGCTCGAGCGTGAGTCGTGAGCTCGCTTCTCGCGCCGGGTTTCAGAGAACCCTTTTTTCACGCTCATGATTAGTTTTCATAAGACTTGTTCGCGCCGAGCCCGATCATCATTCTGAATGATCCCTATCGCTGTTCAGCAGGCTTCGCTGCGACTCGACTCCTTCCGAGCCTTAAGGTGGTCGCGATACGAAGAAAAAGCGCGAATCCGGAAATGGGGTTTCGCAGAATTTCCCTTCGGAGTGGATCGCAGAAGATTTGAGGTTCTCTTCTCTCGGGGATCGGCGCTTCACCGGGCTCGCCGAAGTTTTCCGCTGCGAAACCTCCCGAGCGGTGTCCCTCCGAGCCCGGGAAGGTTTCTCTCGCGATCAGCTGGGCAGGTCTATTGAGGCTTCAGAGGAATAGGGACCCATAACATTGAAATGTCGTTGTGCGTCCGGAGCAAATTTGCGCTCTTGGGCCCCCGGGCGGCCCCGCTGGGGGCCGTGTATTCTGCGAGGAATAAGGGTTCGAGCCTTGGCACAAAAGGAACTCGGTGAGTGCGAAGATTGAGCGCTTGAGCGGAATCCCTGAACTCGTCTTTAGGAAGGACCCATTAGATCACAACGACTGGAATGCCCGTCTCACTCAGCGATTCCTCAATCGATCGGAAGGCATCCTGGAAAAGAATCGTTTAGAAGTTCTTCAATGTTCCCTCAAAATCTACGTCGAACGAATACTTCTAGTCTTTCCCTCGAGGAGTCTCCTGTCCTCCCTGCAGAGCTCCGGGAAGTTTCTTTGACCGAAGACAGATGATTTTGATGGTGAAGGAATAACCCAATTGCGGTTCCAGGTTGGAGCTCCTACGTAAGGGAACCGGGGGTCGCTCTTCCTTCAACGGGATCATCGCCACAATTTTCGGTAGCAATGGGTTCCTTGCCCGATACGTGATAAACGCTCTTGGACAGACTGGAGCTATGATGGTTTTACCGCACCGATGCGATCCCTACCTCATGATGCGGCTGAAAGTCGCCGGCGACCTCGGGCAGATCCAGTTCCACTTCTTCGACTTGAGAGATGAGAAGAGCATCGCTGCGGTGAGTTTTGGGTACACAGGAGAGCATTTGGCGACGCGTTCAACGTTTTCCTTTGCCCGACCGGCGCGGGGCGCCTCGATGTAGCTCCCAAGACTTTCTCTTTTCTGAGAAGTCCCGCTCAGTAATTCTTGTGACCGCAGCTAGAAACGTTTCCTCGCGAATTCCAGGCGATGCAATACTCCAATGTGGTCATCAATCTGATCGGGAAGGATCAAGCTTCGGGAAACTTCAGTCTGGACGATGTTCATGTCAAGGGCGCTCGATCGATAGCCCGACTCGCCCGGGAATCCGGCGTCGAGAAACTCATTCATTTTTCGGCGTTGAACGCGGCAGAAAAACCGGAAAAGCTGATGTTCGGTGAGATTACTGGCCGAATTCGTTGAGATTATGGGTGTACGATGAACGATATAATTTTCCCAATACTTGCCCGATGGGAACGCGAAGGCCCACGAAGGCTGCACGGTTGTTGTCGGAATGCGTTCGGAGACTCTTTGCGCTCATGCGCGTGACTGAATGCGCGAACAGAGTCCGAGAGCATTCAGTCGTAAGCGCATCCGATCATGGCGCATTCAGTCAAGAGCGCCTTCAGTCACGAGTGCTTGCACTCGAGTACATACATTCGCGAACGCAAATATGTTCCGGGCGCATTTAATTCGGCGCCGACGCTCAAGGTCCAATCCATGTTTCAGCGCCTTCGAAGTTCTTCTCCACCAAGTGGGAGGGCGAACAGGTTGTTCGCGAGGAATTCCCCGACGCCATCGTTTTCAGACCCTCCGACATGTACGGCCACGAAGATCGTTTCGTCCGGTACTACTCTGGGCAGTGGCGATGCAATTACAGCGTTATGCCTCTCTGGAAGGGCGGGAGGAAGATCTATAAAGCCCCAGTCTTCGTTGGCGACGTTGCTAGAGCAGTCGTCGAAGCTATCAACCAGAAGGGAAACGAGGGGGAAACGTACCAAGCCGTCGGACCCAAGCTATATGAGCTTCGTTCGCTCATGCGCTACATTTCACAGCTTCTGGAGCGCGAGATGCATCTCTACGACTTGAGGTTCGACCCTCTCTTCATGGCGAAGGTAAGTCGACAGCTCGCGCGACCGATTCGGGGAAAACTCGTCCCGCTGGTCTGGTCGCAGCAGCGGAAATCGCCTCGCTATCCCGCGAAATGTAATGACCGGATCCTTTACAGATCTCCTACGCGGAATTATTCAAGAACCCAAAAATGTCTTGGGAGCGATTGAGGAGGGAGCACACGAGCGACACCATCTATGGTGAAATCAAAACTATCGAGGATTTGGGGGTTCGATTGACCGAAATCGAAGACCGCTTCCCGTTCGAATTCCAATACTTCCGCGTCTATCAGTTCGAGGATCCACTCAGTTTCAGACCCAATTTCGTCGAGCCACCCCCAGCTATAAGATATTAGACTGTCGCATACCTCTCGACTCGGAAATGTGTTGCACAGCGGAATGGTTATAGAATAAAGTTGAATAATGGCTCGAAAATGGTCACGGTCTGCGCTAAATGATCATAAGTCGGGCGCATAGAGTCTGGATGTGGAGAGAGGCGCGAATTCCAAGACGAGTCTTCGCCGATGGCGTCTGAGTCGCAAGGTCACAAGGAAGCTACCGGACAGTTTGAGGCTAAGCGACAAGTTCTGTCGTTTATTCATTCTAATAATCATCCTGCCAGTGTACAGACTTGATTGAGAACCTACCCAACGTTAGGTCGTATGAGTATTCGCGTAGAAAACTCGACGAACAAAATACTTTCTACGCGTTTATCAGCGCGCGCATGTGGTATAAGATCTTGGGCTATTCTTGAATTTCCAGTCTGCACGTCCATTGTCTAAGTTGGAGTCATCAGGTTCTCCCTCGCCGATCGGTCATTCGGATGGTCGCGCAGACGGTCGCCGCTCTGGAACTGTTCTCCGGCCGAGGATCCGAGGCATTTTGATCGTCGCGACGGTTGATTCCCCCGAGGTGCAGACAGGCTCCAGGGCTGGAAGGAACCAGCGCCTCGATTCGTAGATTCTCGCCGTAGGCTACGGCATAATTTCGATTGAGCGCATTACATCGTTTGGTGTCTCAGCGCTTGTGAGGAGCTCGCGTCCTCTTCCACATCGACTAGTAATGGTTCCAATTGTTTGACTGAGCTTTCTCCAAATGTGCACCTTCTGGATCGCAGCCGTTGCCACGAAACCATCCGAACGTGGGATCGCCCGAATGATCCAGTTTGGTTAGGCGAAGAACTCCCTTCCTCCGTTAGTCTCAATAACTTATCCATCCCATCCGTGTCTTCCGGATGATCGCTGTTAGCGGATGATAGCATGCACGCATTTCAACGGCCTGTTGTATCCAAGGGAAGATTTGGTTCACCGATTAAAACTACAAGGCGCTTTGGACAAACAGGTTCCATCGAGTTGGCAAATGTCTTTCTCGTTAGAAAAAAGCATCGTCCTCTGTTTTCTTAGGTTGGCTCCCTCCTCGGAGTTGTTCATTACTCGATGCTGTCATCGGTTATATTGTTTCGTCCTTTTTCCTCCGAGATTAATTGAAATCATCACTCCCATAAAGTTTGTTAATACATGACCTTCGCGGTAGCCACGGCTTAGTTCAGTCCTTCTCGTGGAACCAGCGCATCGCGACCCTCACTTGATCGAGATTTCAATTTTCCGGTTACCCACAGCATCGAGAGCCTAATTGACTGACAGGGACATGCGCCAGTTCTCTTGTCTGAACTCCATGATGTACTACGACTTTTTTGGGATAGTTCTGATACTGCACGATCAACATGATACGCAAGCGGCGGCGGCAGCCTCTCGCATTGCGCTTGAGAGATGATCTGATCGCAATGGAAACCGCAGGAACATAGACTCCCTCATGATAAATAGTGATCGACCTAGTACGATTGAGGGTTCGCTCGGGCGAATCTCATAAACTGGTTAGTACGTAGAAAGAAACTAACAGACGAAAATACCGATTCCGGGCTTATCCAGCCAATTTCAGGGCAGCAGCGCTTCTTCCCGGTGTGGGTCTCCTGGTTCCCCGCACAATGAACAGAAGTCATGGTTCCGCCCCTCAGGACGACTCGAGTGTCCGCTCTGGATTCGGAGCTCCATCGAGCTGCGGCTTCCTGGATTCCAAAGCCATGCCTGCTAGGCGGTATTTTTTTCGATTGAGAGACGGGCAATTTTCTCTCCCTCTCTCACTCTCGATTCCTTCTTATGAAACCCTGGATGTGACGCTAAAACGATTTCCTATTTTGTTTCCGCATTCTCCGCCGCGGTTCGTCGTAAGTCATAATTGAGGATCTAGATCGCGGTTTCGCCTGCCGGCAAGAAGTCAATCTACGCGAAGAGATCATTGTTCCACGTGAGCAACTAGCAATGAGCCTCGATTCCGTTGGGAATATTTTCGGCTGTCTCCATAGCTTCCTCGATATCTAAAACATCGTCTTTCGGAGAATCAGGAAGAGAATCGGAAGGTTTCTCCTCGTCGCCCTTGTTGATCTCGTTATCTTCCTCCTGAAATGATAAAATGGCTTGAGATCAACTAGGTACTTTCGATTTCCACGGTTAGCGGTTTCCTTCCGGGAGAAGCATCACGGTGTCGGAAACAAGTTTTGGGTGCTGAATCCACTTTAGATGTTGTTCTATGGGAATTTTCCAGTCGCAGGCCCCTTACATCTTCGTCATTGGAATCATCCTCCTTATCTTCGTCTTCTTTGTCCTCGTCGTCTTTACCCGCAGCCCCTCCGACAGCTTTCCTCTCTTCGTATTTCTTCTTGCGTTCCAAGAACTCGAGTTTCCATCTCGGTACGACTCCTTTCTTCTCCTCGACTTTTTCTCTATGAAACTCGGAGCTTTTGTGCCTCTTGGCGTTTATTATCAGGACACCTGCAATGACGCCGTCGCTGTGACTTAGCTCATTCATGTCGCGAGCGTACGAGTAGGTACGTTCTGAATTCGGATACTCGAATGGAGTGCACGCGAATTTTTCGCCCGGACAAAGTAGTCCGATGAATTCTGTGAAGGATGCTGGCTCGGGCCAGAATGGATCGTAACTCACCGCAATCAGGACAGTATTGATTGTCGCGCGGAACCTCGAACTTTGTGGTGAGGTCGTCCTCCGAAAGCCAAATTGGAGTGTCCTCGGTATCTATGTAGTCACCAAAACGAGGGAAAATCCACGACGAACGATTGCTATTCCCCCATTTCGACTGGGAGATGACGAACGGCGGCTTCAAACGACTACGAGACGCCGTGAACTGTACTGCGGAGGTTCGCTTGCCACTGGGTCGGCGGTTGGTTTTCTTCGGCGGGGCAGACTTTGAGTTTTTCGGTGAGAAGTTCGTTTTCGGTCTGACTCCTCTACGGTCCATCATTCGAGGGGGGTACGGTTCGAAGCGGCTCGGACCTCCCCCGGGATAGCCTCCTCCGAAGCCTGGGTAATAATCGTAGAAGCCCGGCCTCCCATCGGAGTTTCGATCGAACCGATCATACCAACTGGAATTGATGACTTACTTAAAATTACGGCTTGCGTAGAATATTAGATCGTAGGACAAGACGAGGAGTATTCTCTTGACGGATTCCCGATCAGAGAAGTTTCTCTCGCGGTCCACGAACACGCGAGCAAGCGACCTAATGAAAAGACTCGGACGAGGAACGTTGGGCTGTCCCGTTCAAGTACGTGATGCTTCCTAGGGTGTATTCACGACAACATCTGGGACGAAAAGTGCCGATCGGAATGCAAATAAGAACACCACCGACGACCGGCCATTTAATTCAAGCCTATGCTCTTCACGACGTCCGAGAAGACTGCGCTCATCTGGGCACGGTTTCAGATACACCTCTATCGATCACCTCATCTTATAGAACTCTCCTGCGCATTTCGCTCTCGGGACCTCACAAAATACTCGGCATCCAGGAAAGTCAAGTGCTCTCTCATGAGTTCTTGAAGTCGGCCGAGGAGCCGGGTGCACCTCGTAAACTAGGCTCACGACGTCCTTTCAGGCGTAAGTCTCCGCTCCGCAAGGTCAAGCTCGGGAATCTGCAGCTCTCGAATCCCGCAAACGCGAGTTCGGCTAGCATATTCGTCCTTCACGAAACTCCAATCCGACCCGCTCCTCGGGACTTCGCCGCAGTGGAGACAAGCGGCTCCGTGAACAGCCGTTCGCGTCCCATGGCTTTTTGCCTGCGTGGACTTCGTTCCCCAGCTGATTCGGCCAATGACTCCCGAGCAGCGCTGTCCCACTAAGTTTCTCTTTGCAAATCGATGCGTACGTCATCTTTCGATTATTTAGATCGAAAGACGAATGCAGCGCGAGTGCAATCAAAAAGAAATTCATACATAAACTATAGGCTTAGTCAAACGTCAGATGCTCCGCCGGACCGGTGTCTCAGCTAAACAACGCTCAAACTACTTACGGTGAGGAATACGGTGCCGATGCTGAGTATCCCCCGTTGGAATGGGGACCACCGTAGCCGTAGCGAGACATTTCCACACGATTTTGAGGTCCTTAGGACTGTAGGGGTCCACCGGTAACCTCAAGCCCTGCTCTCGCTATAGCCAGCCAGTACTTTCCTTCTCCTCAGACCAACCACCGTTCACTCGCTCCGGCTAGACACTCACTCGTCGTTGTAGCGGAGCAGCAGCAGCCGCGGCGGTAGCAGCGGCGGGAAGAGCCGCGGCGGCGGCGGCTGCGGCAGCACCACCAGCAGCGGCCGCCATAGTCGCAGCAGCAGAGCAGCACTCAAACAGCTGTCTGCTCATGACATCGCGAGGAGAAAGCTTTAGTTCGGCGCGGCGCCTCATTTCGAACTCCGATCTCCGGAGCTCCTCGTATCCCCGGAGAGTCCCCTGCATTCTGGAACGAGATAGATCTCGCTCGGTTCCCGTCATGGTATCGGTCATCAGTTTTAACTCCACTAAATAGGCTTCGCGAGTTATCGCTTTAGATAAAGGAGAATTTGAAATGAGAAACTATGAGTGAAAAGACACCTTGGCTCAGATTCAAACGCCTTTGCCGGCGCTCTCCCGGTCCCACTTCGACGGAGAGCACTCAAGCCTTTATTGGAAACTTGGTAAATACAAGTTGAAGATTTTCCCGTTTTTTTTTCATTTTTCATGTGAAAATATCGAGTTTCCTCGCGCAGGAGGAACCTCCCTTAGAAACAAGCGGGACTTTCCGAAATGTCGGTGAGAAGGTTACCTACGTGTATCCACACCCTCGTTTTTATGGCGTATACATTCTGCGACTGCTCTCGGTCGTCTTTCGGGATGACGAGATCCGTGTTATGCATCGACTTTTCGATAATGATCAATGAACAAGCAAAATAAATGAAATAATGCCCCGGCTTTTTTAGTTGTTTCCTCCTCCACCGCCGATGAAATGTTGTTTGGATGTTAAGTTCGTCGAAGAAGACAGTATTAATAGTATCTCCTCGGGGAGTATGATCTCTCACGTTCGCGGTAGCGGTCCCGGTCTCTGCCGCCGCCACCTCCGCCTCCACGTCGTCCTCGGTATGGGGACGGGGATCGAGTGTGTCTCCGGCTTCGGCTTCCGCGGTCGCTGCTTCCTCGGTCGTAGCCGCCGCCCCCAGATCCCCTCTTGGGCCTCCTGGTCGGACGGCCCATGTACACTCCAGGGGTGGGAGTGTGAGCTCTTTTCGTGATTGAGAAATCAACGCGAATTTTCCGACCGTCGATTTCCAGGCCTGGGAACAGGCAGACGAGATTAGCGAAAAATGCAAATTGGTAATCGAGCGCAAAAATCTGGCCTTTCTGAATCAATACGGGGAAAGCTCGCTGCAAGTTTACCGTTCGCTTTCTCCTTTGCTTCGTGGGCATCGTCTTCGGATTCGTAGTAAACGAACCCGAATCCTCTTGATCGTCCAGTCTGGGCATCGTAAACGACCTGAACGTCCTCGACGCGGCCGTACTTTCCGAAGAAATCCCTGAGCTCGCGTTCGTTGGTGTAAATCGACAGACCGAAGACTCCGATGCAACGCGATGGATGCGGGCGCTCTCGATCGCCAGCGTGCCGCTTTCTGTAAGTACAGCAATGTTAAAAAGGACTCGGGCAACGACTTCCAAGCAGCTAGTCCGTTGATACCGATCAGATGCTAAAGTCTAGGAGATTTAACTCCCGCAGAAGACTGAAACACTCCACCAGACTTCATAATGATCAGTATGAGAATCAGCATCGAGAGCAGATCCCGATCCGGTGAGACCGAACGATGTTATTTTTAGTGTACGACATGTTTGACAGAGTGAACGCAGTCGATTGTATGGGCACGGAGCATACGAAAGAATCGTGTACAACCAAGGGACGGTTTCAGGAGCAGGAACGATGACGGTGCGGAAAGGAGAAAAATAGGAAGGGGATGAATGCGAATGAACTCAGCTTAGAGCGTAAGATCATTAGAGGATGTTTATGAGCCCAGGTCGGGATGCTGGGGAAATAGTTCGATTGAGCTGTCCCTGGCCTGTCTGAAGCAAATCCTCTGCTGTTTTTGTCGCTTCGTGTTTCTCTGATGTTTTTGTTGTTAAGTGAACGGAAAGGAGCGGACAGATAAAGAGGGAGAACAGTGGTACAGTACCAGACATTGAGCGTAGCCTCATCCGGGCTTCTTTCTATTCTTCTATGATGACCACGAGAACGGCCTAGCTCTTCTTATACATGTCCACCGAGTCTTCAAGGATCATGAATGACTGTTTTTTTGAGTTTTCGAGTGACTGATTCATTCAACGGCTCGCTCAAACGAATTTTCAAGTGCCTTCTGATGTTCGCCAGTTTTCTTAATCGTGTTTGCATTTCTAGCGCCAGCGCAGCGAAGTTGCAGAGAAGAGGAGGGACCGCTCGCTCGAGGTTCGGCTGCTTCTGCCAAGACGACTTCAAGCCTACGAGTCATGAGAAAAGTTCATCGTCGATTCTTCATTGCTTGCCGATCGCCAAAACGAGCCCGATGATGCACAATCTGTCCGCCCGAAACACGCAACTCGTTCACGACTCGTAGCTTCATTCGTTCGATGAGTTTTCATGATTGAGAGAGAGTTTCTCGGACCGCTTTCAATTCCACGTCTATTTCTTCGAAGAGTCCTCTTTTCGATCGCGATTACTTCAATCGGCCTCCCGTGAAGCCACAACGTTTCCGGCGAATTTCTGTGATCTCACTCGGCAAGGATTCTCTCTTCATCAGTAAGAGACAGCTGATAGTTGAACAGGTCGATGTTCGAGTTCATCAGAGTCTTCAGTCGACGTCTTCTTAAATTTTTCGGAGTCCACCGTTTCGGATTTGTCCGTTGATTTCCTCACCCTTCGTCTCCATCGTACCTGCTCCCTACGGGGGACCGGCTGCGGGACCGTCTGTCCTTTCGGTCTCGCCTCGACTCACGGTCTCTACTTCGGCTTCGACTTCTGCTACGCCGATCTTCTCTATCACGGTCGGACCGTGATCGAGAGCGCGATCGGGAGTGCGACTCTCCTCGGACATAAATGTCTCGCGGAGATATCTGCAATGAGAGAAATTTAGGCTTAGGGCGGTGGATCTGTCAAGCATTGTAATTACAGGACTCGACGGTATACGGCGCACAGCTGAATACAACGGATAGGAATTGGCAATGCGCTCTGAGTCTCGACCATCATCGGCTGAGGATGAGAATGAGCATCGTCATCTAAAAATGAGAATTCTCCTCTCGATTCGAGGGAAAGAGTCAACTGTCCCGGATCGGTGGTCCGTCAAGTGATACGGGACAGGCTCTGACGCACTGGAATCTCCTGACAAAATTTTTATTCCTTCCGGAACTCGGCAGCCACGGATTTCTCTGTCGTGATCCCATGTCGGCTGAAAGCTCCACATCTCACCATCGCAGATCATTCAATCACGGAACAGGAATCGAACGGTCGCTACTCGGAATAGGTTTTCAGCTCGGCGGGCTCGGGAAGCCTCCGGTCGGCAATGTGCGCATAGTTCGGGGAGGGTAATTTCGAAATCAGTCTCAAGGTCGAGAAGACTTCAACAGCCAGAGAATCATGGCGCGGTCTTTCGGAAACGCAGCTCAACAAGGCATCAGCGCGCGCATTTCGCCGCTTTCTGCCGCAGCTATCTCCAAAACTTCGCTCACAGTGAAGGTGTCTCAATTGGGTTCGATACGATAGTGATCCTGGGCGCGCCCAACCAACGCGCCCCGAGTGTGCATCGATCAGCTACCCTGGATAGATGGCCCAATCGTTGAACCATCAGTCCAATAGTTTTATTGGATACCGGCGTCTCACTTTCGGTATCGATGTCTGCTGGTCAACGGACGCACATTTTTTTCAATGTACGCGCGATACTAACGGAGCCATCGGGTTGAGCGAAGCTGGCGTACCATGCTTTCCCGCGCAGTCGATTTTAGCGCGGTCCTTTATTTTGTTCGCTGGTCGGAACGCGCCGCTCGTCGTCCTTGACGCGATCTCCCCGCTTCCAACACGACTATTCCGTGCGAACTTGTCAGCTTCTCACAAACCCCAGACTGCGTACCTCCCGAGAAACGTTTTGAGCCGAACCAGAATTCGAACACAGAACGACCATTTCTTCGCGAGGGCTCGGCCTCGAGGATTCCTGCATTGATGACTCTAGCGGGCGCCATACTGAGTGAGATGCACGAGCGTGGAATCATCGAGCAGATCGAAAAGCGAATTAAAAAACGATGTCACTTTCTACGCACGGGTAGCGACGGACGAATTCGAGCATAAAATGTATCGGATAACAGCCGGCGATCGTCGAGACACCTATGAACATTCCCGGATTGCCGGCAACCGCAGCGTGCTTCGCGAGCTTGGCGATGAAACGCTCGAAAAATCTCACGAAAATCATCGATCCGCCAGACATTCATCGTAGGAAGTGGATGCTGATGTCCGACGCAATGGCGATCGAGCGAGATCGCCAACGAGGGGACCAGCCCATCGTTCCGGGCGGATTGAGCTTTCTATATTCGCTAAGTAACGACTTACATCTCTGTCGCTCATGGTAGCTTGCCTGCCTCCTCGGAGATTGAATGAACTTCCCACAAAATATGATCGACTATCGGGAGAGCTTGTCGATTTGTGGTCGTGTTAATGTAGCACAAAGCAGAGATCGAGTACGAATCGTATATCTCAACCAACACCAACACCAGCCGCACACTCACTACTACGAAAGATCCACACAAGCAACAACGAGGACCTCGCCACTCTGCCGCCGCCAACGCCGCTGACGATACAGCAGCGCACACTCTTGGGGAGAGGGCACTGAAATTATAAACAACCGACTGGCCGACTTGAATCAATTCGTGATTTGCGATATCGATCGGTGTGCGAAGAAGTTGAACCCGTCTGGCATGGTGGGATGCTCAAGAGCCGTATCTTCGGGGAATTTTCCGTACGATCGAGACCTCGCTATCGGTATTGTATCCGTGTACAGGGTAGGGGGGCAATTGTAAGGCATGAGCGGACTCTGTAAAAAAATGAGAGTGTGTTGGATTCGGAGATGAGAATGATGATCTTTGCTGGGTATTCCAGCGCGACCGGGTAGTCCCTCCTATTTTTTCCCTACCGGCCTTCCTAGGTTCTCTGAGTTTTGCTTCGGAAACGCTAAATGAGACCGCGTGGGCGAATCTCCCCAATGAGAGAAGGTTTCGACATATCGCTACCACAGTACCTATGTGGATTGGACGTCTGATGACTGACTGATAAGTCTCACCGTCGGGCAAACTCTGACCTGCCTGAAATCTACCTTGAATATCATCCATGTTTCTTTGACGATTCCCTCACGCAGGGACTTTCGAATCAACGCCCATCGTCCCGACCGATGGAGGTACATTCCGGAAAAATGCCGAGATCGGACATTCCGATTGCATTGTCTTGAAGGCGCATCCATCCGCGAATCAGATCTAGTCTCGTGCGATTTGATCATCGGTCAAGTTCGGCTCTCGTCCGTGCACAGCCTCGAGAGACAAGGGGAAAATATAGATGGTGAAGTGTTGGGCAGGAGCCCAAAAGTTCGGATAAGAGGCAGGATGAAGCGCCCTGGGTCTGGGGAGGCCTCGTTGAGAGCCTGAGCATCACATGGACCTGGAGAAAAAACGCAGATGGCCGGGAGCGTGACAGCGCTGTTCCCGCCCTCAGCGGGGATGTTTCGCGAGTACAGAGGTCTTTGAGACGGGGCATGTTCATTCATCTCATTTATTGAATTAAATCTCGACCTGCCTAATTTTCCTTCTTCTTATTCTCATGGTCAGCGAACCGTAACGGGGAATATAGGAAAATATCCAAAACCCGTCTAGTGAATCTTCCCGGCCTCCAGAAGCTGAAGGGATCACCGAACACAAATCTTGAGGATGCGCAAAAGAATACGCCTCAGCGAAGTCTGTCGTTCCACGAGGAAGGGGAGCTTGAGGCATGAGCTAATAATGATGGCGCGACTTCATGCGGCCTATGCTCCAGCCAGATGGAGGCCCCTTTGGCAATGAAGTAATCGCGGAATGAAGTAATCGCTAAGGAAGATCCCTCGTAGAGACTTCTTCGAGCTTCCAAAAGGCATTGTAGGAAAGTAGGAGCACTCAGCAGGTTGAGTGGACACCGTTGGGTAGGAGCATCAGAGTGAATCCCAACGTCAGACTGATGAAATCGCATAACGATTTCATATCAAGTGTAGCGTCAGAGCCAAGGCTTAACCCGAAGTTCTCCCTCACGAAAATTCGAGGCTCATTCATTCTAGACGACAAGACGAGGGAGGTCTGCATCAGATGTCTCCGCACTCTCCGGCAACTCTTCCCGAGCCTGTGACCGCTCCACACCATGATGAGGAATTCCAACAACTGACTCGACTGATCCATTGCATTGAATAAAGCTGAACCTTCCTGAGACCCCTGGCATGCAGCCTTGAAGGGAATGGTAGTCGTCAGTAAGAGGAAGTATACTATGTGGAGCATGATGATAGGGAGGCCAAAAGATTCGCTCAGACCATCGCACGTCAACGCTATCTGACGACGAATCCCGCCATTGTCCTTGGAGTTCACCCTGATCAAGAGTCCGTCGATACGATCCGCCTCGCTTCCGATCTGCATCGCTATTTCGATGTGTATGAAGGTTTTCAGGAGAACGAGTCTATACTCAGACATCATTCCCGTCACCCAGGTGGCTTTTGCGACATCAATCATCGGCGGGAGGATGGCGAGTACCGCGTAGTAGCTCACAGTTTCCATCGCACACAGAAGGATTGTGATAGCGACCATCGTCGAGCCATAACTGAACACTTTAGGCTTCCGGAGAGTACCTGCTCGTAGCCTCCACACGTAAATCAGGAAGCAGTGTAGACACCTTAGCGCGTAAGTTGCACGTGACACATGCGTCAAGACGTCAGCATCGTGGCTCCTGCTATGGATGAGGCAAATTCTTAAGACGGCCGCTTGGACGAAACATTGGAGGAAACAACATCTCAAAAATAAACGAACCCCTCTGCGGCGAACAGTGACCCCTAGTAGGGCTGGGATCAAAAAGAGGAGAATATCTGCCGCAGAGGGGCGAGGTCGTGGTGTTCCGCGGATCAGGTTGCCGAAATCTTGCGAATTGATGTGTTCCACCTCGGATTGCATCGCTATCTCACCAGCACAGGGCAGAGGCTCCAGCTGGTGCGATCCCCATGGTTCTTCTTTACGCAGACCAGGAGCTGAGGAGATCGTGCTGCGGATTGTGTAACCGATACAGCGTTCGGAACGGAATATCCAAAAACCAATCGTTGATGCTAATCAGAGGTTCGCGTCCATACACTCGAGAGACGCTGTCTCTCGGCGAAGCGAGGGACGTCTCCAAAAGCATCACGACCATCAACGTGAGGAGACATGTCGAATCGATTGGCGCCCGACCGATCGGGATTCTCCGAATACCCATGTCAGACTTGAAGTGTTCTGTGGCAATCCCTTGTGGCCCCCGACGCTACTCGTTTGCGGGCGACCCCTTTCTCCTTCACGTTAGATGTCGATCCCTCTTAAAGGCTTCGTCCCCCATGAGGCACTCACCTGTCGAGCGTGATGGAGCTAGCCGACCGCGTACGTACCTTGAGCGGGTTCGTGGCACGGAGGCTAGAGACAATGCCTCGCTCTTAACGGCGGAATTCATGGTCGTCAATTATTGTCCTGACTCAGACTTGTGGAGCACGAAGCTCGGCTGGTGTATGTCTCCAAGGATTCGTATCGAGGGAGCTTATCAGCTTTTCGCAGACATTCGGTGTTCGCTAAGGAGTATTCGACGTATATTTGGCGGGGAAAATAATACTAGGAGATATGGGATTTTGCGAAGCTTCTCGGCTAGGAAAAATTCTGAACGAGGGGCATTCAGGGAACATCATGGGTTAAGAGGAAGCGGCTCGTTCCGATAGATATCGAGACCTGAGAAGGACAGACATCCAGAAATCGTTTACGGAATTTCTGATTCCGAATGAATAATTTATTCAAAGTAGTTTGCAACTCCTCCGAAGTTCATCTTCTCGATGGATAAGTGATGATAAAAGGCGAATAGAAAATCATATTTACAGACAATCTGCGCTCGTGCTCTTCAGAATCCTTGTTCGCCTCCCCATAGTCACCGCGTGGCTTGCGGCAAAATCATAACATCAGGTATAGAAGATTGCTACTTACAAAAAAATTGAGATCGATTAATTTGTTGTATGTATTTGCGGTCGTTATCGTATTCTTCGTCGTCTGCGAAAACGCAACAAGGGATATCCGAAGAGGAGCATTCTGACCGTGTGATCTCATCTCATGATTCCATAAATATTACACACCTTCAGAGGACTCTACAGATGCAGACTCCTCCAACCTGCGCCGGTAGAGCGCATCTGCGACCGAAGGAGCTACATAGATCCACTAATTACACATCTCTGCATCCTCAAGCTGTACGTTATTCTCCAGTATGTACAAATGCCTTAATCTCTCAGATTACGGCGTTCTACAACGTAGCGTCACAATCGTCGTTGACCAGTCTCGACACTGCATCGCTTCCCCCGATAAGTGAACAAACGGCATCTTTCACAGCATGATAGACCACGTTTTTGATCTGGAGAAGGGAAACGGTTCGATAAGAAGCGCCTTTAAATATTTATGATGTTTTATCGTGTTGTATAGTGTTATCTAGTGAGACATCCTTCAGAAGAGCCCCGAAGCTTACCTGGAGTTTATCCTCGTGGTTCGTGTGCGAATCGGATAGAAAGCGGAATTCGTTCGTGAGTCTCAGACAATGCGCCAGATTCTCGGGAGAAACGAAGTCCTCGGCCACTTTAATACAAGAGTGAAGGTTCCGCACTTGGTGGGGGGCCCCCGCGGGTATGAAGACCGTGTCGCCCAAACACTGAGCGATCGCGTATCCCTCAACTCCATATTCTTTCCACAATCTCTTCCGGAGCTCCCGATCGAGATACCAGAGTTGATCGTGGATAGGGTCTGAGTTCGTTTCTAATCTGTTCCCCTTTTCCACCTTCAAGAGGAGAAAGATGAAGATACATGATCAATGCAAGCGGATCCAAAGTGAGGGCTCCGAAGGAAGACTCCCCTCCAAAATGATGATACTACTCTCCATGGTCACTCTCTGTACTCACCGTGACTTTCCGGAGCAATTGACGGATGGGCTCCGCGTCTTGCGCATCGAATATATGCCACACGGCACCCACTCTGGCACCTTGTTCGCGAACTCGCTTCATCTGTATGGCGTCGCAGCCAGCTTCTTCCACAGCGTTTAATGCCTCTTCAATATGGCGTTGACAATTCCCATCTCTTGGAATCCCGACGTAAACCATGACGTTGGCCGCGTCGCTCATATCGAGATGCAAATTTGTGGTCCCTGGAAATCAGTCACGATTTATTCGAAATCAAATCGGTACATCAATCGTGACTCGAGGGACTTCCTTTCCGATCGTGGAATTTCCCACGATGATACCGAAAAGGGAGACCAGGGGGCTCCACCATAGAAATTTCATAATGAAAGGCCTAAGCCTCACCTTTAGTGGGGAAGAGTGCGGATCCGTATGCGTTGTACATTTTCGGGCCGAGATCCGGGGGAACGAAACAATCTGGCAGTCTGTTTGCGAGATTCAAAGCACCTTCTCGCAGAGTATACATTGGGAGAGGGAGAGCCTTCATGAGGTCTGCGTAACGCGTGGGAAGAACTTCACTGAAGTTCTCGTCCGGCGGCCAGTCTTTGAGTTTCAACAACATGTGGTCGCCGTCACGGTCTTTCATCCGCTTCGCGAAACACTCGAATCCTTCCCAGAATTTCTTCATTGGAATGAACTTGCCCAGGTCGGAGCCCGTTTTGCAATCCACCAATGAGCTTTTCTGCTCTCCAAAATCCCTAAGAAATGCGTCTGGGTGCCAAAGATTCATATCTAGAACCTCAGATACGTGGGCCACCATGATCGGCTGACCGCGGTTCCACTGCTCTTGGAACAATTCGACATTTGACTTGTTGGTTGCTTCGAGCAATAGTAGGAGTTTGCCTTTACACAGCCACTTATGTGGCGCCGTGTATTGCGAGGAGCTTTCCATTTTGTGCGAAAAACGTAGAGCCAGAGCCTGATGACGACTACTTGATACTGGCAAACGGCACGGCCTTCGGGTCAATTCTAATGTGTTTTTTACAGTATCGAATACGATTGAATCCCACGGTTGGGAATGCGAAGAATCGGTTTCCTCGACCTGGAATAAGTCGTCGTGCTTAATTTCACTTCTCGATAGTCTTGTAGTCATTGGCTGCAAGTCAAAATCTATCGCTGCGAGGCGGGATACATACTTTCACTCGCGAAACAATATTTTCCTGACGTGTTGCAATGTCTGCGAGAAAGTCGAGCGAGCTTTCTGATTTGATTTGTTTCGTTGGGTCGGATTTTCTTAAATTGCGACCATGGGTCGTGCGTTTAGGCCCAGTGGAGTGCAGTAATGATTTCAGCGTCTGGAATCAAAGAGCAGGAAATTTTACGAAAGCACGAATTATGCCGCCTACGCGATACGGTATATCTGAACGGATGAATACCGCGTCCTTCCTGCGTGAAGGAACCGAGTCGTGGTACTCACGTTGCTAGCACACTTGTGAGCGGTGACGGCACGCTTCACAGCTTTCTCGTATTCCAAGTCGGGAAGCGAAGCACAGCTGCATTTTGAAGGAATATTCCTTTCCCGGCGAATCTCATGCTGGCGCGCATTGAGCTCCTGGAGGAGATTGCCGGGAATGATCTGAGTCATCATCAAGCTCCGTGGCTCATGTGGACGCATCGATTTCGGGTTGCCACAGAAGAGCCAACGGAATTCGTCCTTGATCGGGTCGGTGTTTTTAGCCATGACTTTTCTATCCATTCGACTTCTGAAGCAGTCTGTGCATGATACGAATCCGCAGTGACCGCAAGTCCAATGGAGATTGAAAATAGTCGTGGAGCAAACGTCGCACATCTCTCGGACGCCGTAGACCTTTTTCCAACGTATCCGTTTGCCGACGGGCATATCCTTCGGTAGAAAGCTTTTGAATTGCTGGAACGAAGGAAAAAGTGACGGAGTAGGTTCTGTGAGTTCCCGGAGGGCGAGCATTTCAAAGGGGGGAACTCGATCCGAGCGGGCTGGAGAACGACCGGAAAACATGGCGGACCACATACCTCTATGACATCCATCTCCTGCTTGACGATACCGCAGAGTATATCGCCGACATTCGTCAATACCATTCTCGCCGTCTTCAAGTCCATTGGGGCGGATTTCATCTGGTTATTTGGCACAGATTCGCGTAATACCGTAGTCCATATTCGAATGTCACTCTCTGTGGCGTCGTCCGAATCGGTGAAACCCTCAGCTTGCACCATATCTCCGACAAAGCGTAACTTCCGGAATTCGTTGAAGCGACACTCGTTGTTCTCGTCAGTCATCGAACGGCACGAAATGCACTTGGCAAACTTCTTAGAGGAAACATCCAGAAGACCGAAACAAGGCCCGTCTTGAATGAAGGGTTTTCCAGAAGCCTTACGATCCGCCCACGGATCGTAGGGTTTCTCCCTGACGGGTCGGCGCGTGACCTCTTCGGCATGAATGCCCTCGGCGAACTTCACGAGAGCATTTGGGTCGACCGATTTCTTCCGACGTCCTCGTTTTTTCGGTTGTACAAGAACCTGCTCTCTTGAGAAATTCAATTGATTGTGCTTATCTAATTGATTCGCGGGGGCTTGGGCTATCGGCTGCTCCTCGTGAACGTTCTTGTCCGAGTCGATACTCAGGCTCCTCTTGACACGATCGGGACGTCCATTGAGAGTTTCTCCATTCGTCACCGAAATGTTGTTACTGTCATCATGGCCGTTCGAGTAGTTGACGACGCCATAATCGATCGCGCCATTGAGGGTGCAAGCCCCCGCGTAGACCTGAGATTGATCCGCATAATTGACTGGATGAGCAGCAACTGGGAGCGTTGCAGCCAAATTGGGATGGGTGTGGTACATCGGATTAGGTATGAGTCCCTGCTCGATGAGGTGTTGCTGATCTTTGTACGAGTTGTCTCCTCTGAAAATCGAGGAATATATTTATAGAAAAGAGGATTGCATGAGGGATCTGCCAATGTATGCGCCGGGGAGATGAAACCGCTCCCTTCGACAGGAAACTTGATATTCCTCGAGGAACGAAAACAAGCGTCCTCCTTTCGGAGGCCCTTCGCAGATCCGGGCAGCATTCCCTCAGATCAAACGCTATCCATCTCTCCACCGATTGGGATGTGCGGTCGTAGAGCGCTCTATGCGGCCGGTGTGATACCTCCAGATCCAATGTAGGTAGGCGGCTCTCTGCAATGAGTATTATCGCCTGGCGAGCGGACACTCATCGCTCGAAGTCCTTTCGTGGGAGAGGGAACTCCATGTCGGAATCGATCGGGGAGTTTCCGGAGGTACCGCAGAACACTGAACTCATCGAAATCTATATCTATCTTATTCGAGTCGAGATACGTGGATCGGAGCAAACGGTTCGGATTCGCGTGAGTCTCACGATCCTCAAAAATTGGGAATTCCTCGGAAGATACTTCAGCGCTCCGGATCCGGTAAATTGACAAATGATGTACAACTGCCTAAGTACGATCATCCAAGTTCTGAGCTAGAAATGCTCCGCTGCCTATCGGAGAAAGCAAGAAATAACTCACCCGCACATCTTTCCAATTACATAGTCGCTGGTCGGTTGCAAGTCCATCAGATTGAGCGAATCACAAGATTCTTCGCATCTGAAAAAAAGTCCCCTCGCTCAGTCGTCTCGTCTGGGATTTCGCGCGTATTCGGTAGTCATCGGAAAGCTCGTGAGCGGGGGGCGAGCTGAGTCGGGATCCTAGGTATTCCTTAAACATTGATAGAGCGGGACGGGCACAGGCGATCGTCCCGCCGTCCGTAGCGCATGCCTTCACGGGGAGACTCAGGGAGCGCAGCGGCTCCGCTGAACGCGTAATTGACGAGGGGCGCGATAAAATCAAACACCGAGGGGCATACAAAAGGTTCTCAGAGAATCAGAAGGCTCCAGGAGCTAGGCAGGTGTCGTTACGGCGGTGAATCCCGTGGACGGAATTCCCGCGACCGACGCTTAGAACACATTTTCAAATGGGAATTCTTCGGACGAAATACGCCTTCGGCAGACGCAAGCGCCCGCGGAGCGCTACCGAAAAGAATATCGAAGACACTGGGCATAACGAGCACCGCAAGCATTATTACGACATTGAGGAGACGGTCAACCTTCAGTTCAAACAAACACTGCATTCCACAAGGAAGTAGCCGCAGATACAGAGCATAAGGAACGTAGTTCAAGAGTCTCGCTGCTTTGAAAGCTTCTAACGGCTCGTTCGTTATTCTCCAAACTATCCCACGATGAGAAGGTGACCACAGCGAATGGATCCCAGCCCCTCAAAATACTTCCGATCCGACCGTATATCAACAGAAGAAGTCGTAGAAGGACAACCCATTGATATATGTCCTGTGGACTCACCTCGAAGCTGGAGACGATCGCCTCACTTCTTCATGACCAAGAAGAAGCTCTCTCGGGGCAGAACTCCGGCAAGTCTATACGAAAACCTTGTAAAACACTCAGATCTAAGCTCACAGCGAAAACACCACCAAAATACGATAGCTGTTATTTACGGTGGGTTGGACTTTACCATACGGCTAAACGAAATAGTCACGTACTTCGGGATGATTCACCGATAAGCGTCATCAATGCGCATATTTCTCTGAGAGGCTCCATTTCCTCGAATTTAGGATGTATCAATTAGTTGCGGGGGCTAATCTCGGCAATGGTCCTGTATTCTCCGATTCCAGAGACGGAGCTCCCCAGACTGCAGCGACCCCTGGTGCTCAAAATCGGAACCACTCGAAGGTAACAACGCGCTCTCCCCACCCCACAAACACCAAGTGTCAACACAGTGCGATCCATTCGGCGCGGCGCGGCTAGCTTGACTCACATACCGCGAAAGGCAGCATCGGAACTTTGAGATCACCCTGTTTTTTTCGTTTCGGGAGCTCCAACATTTAGTTCGACGTGCGTACTTCTGCGGACCCTGTCTTCGAGGATTTAGATGGAGGCTCTAGAAGGATTTCATTGACGTTCCTTCCGAATGAAAGTTCCTCGAGTAGATGTGTATCGAGAAGGGACGTGGGACTCTTCGTACCCCAAGACATCGGTTCGGAAGTCATCGAAGTGCATGTACTCGATATCGAAGTGTTAACACGGCGGTTTCTTGCGCTTTTCGAAGACGATCCGTCGAGGAGACCACTCGATGCGGTAACGCGTAGGAGCGGGAGATTCCGTCGGTCTCGCTTTCTGAACAGCATGAGGCATGATTCGTGGATTAAACTCCCCGTCGCAAAGAGGGTTCCGGGAACTTCAATTCGGTCAGCCTTCAAGCACGCCGGTGCATTTATTCGCTACGCTGATGTCAATGGCTAGTGTGTCCCGTCAGCACAAGTCTCCTCTTGAAGTCTCCTGCCGTGGAGTCTCGTTTCTGACGCCAGGATCAGCGGTCTCATTCGGTATCGGATCTGCGGAGTCTCCGACGTAGCACCCCCGTTGGCGATCCGACGTCAATGCACGTTGCTGCAAGCGCGACGATTCACTCGACCACCATGTGCGTTTTCTGTATGCCAGTTATGCGGCGCGCTCCTCGCTATCAGCGCCTCGGAGGAAAACTTCACCCGCAGCGAAATACGGTAGAAGAAGATTCGGTTCCAGCATAACTTCCTGAGAAATGGAGGAAACAAACATTCCCGTTTCGGAGCAGCCGAGTATTCAGTTTCGCGCTAATTATCCGCTTCGGTAAACGAGGGAGAGCTGGGAGCTTCCCGATTAAAAGTGTTCACATCCTTGTAATTTCCATCGGCGTGGGATGTCCCGGAGTCGGGGAGAGATGATAGAGTCTGCGGAATGCCGCGTATTCCCCGGTAGACCCCGCGGAAGAATCCGAGCCCCGCTCGTGGTGCAATGCTTACATGAAGAAACCAAGAAACTATTTCGGACTGGACTACAAAGCCGAGGTTTAACGTCCCGGGTACTGTTATTCACATTGCCTCCGAGTACGGATCCTCGAAGCAGATGTACCCAGGAGGATCAAGGCCGAGTACCTCCATATTTTTCCTTGCAGCAGGGATCGAACCCACACCGTCTCCCGCGCGAGCGGAGTGGTTGCGGCTATGCACGTTTGCGCGAGAAGTGACGAACGCGCTAACCACTCGACCACCGGTCGGTACATGAAGAAACCAATCGAACAATTATTGAGCTCGACAGAATATCGCTCGTCATTACAGAAAACTAAGGATCGCGATCCGCCGATTTTCGGATCGACGCAATGTTTTCTGATGAAGCGCCGATTGCGAGACACGGATCTCGATGTGAGAACATCATGTTTTGTAGACGTTTCTTCGACGAGCCGAGATTGACACGTTTCTGGACTCCGGACATCTAAGTAATGATGATTTTTCTGCTTTACAACAGCTTTGCAATTTTTTGGTCATAATGTCAGAACTTTCAGAAAAGTTCCCGATCATTCAAATCGACAGAAGCCAATACACTTCGAGGATCAGGCGGCCAGTACGTTAGATTGCGAGTGCCCTGAGCGTTCGTAAATCAGGATCCGATTCCGTTTCTTGTCTCGATAAACCCCTCCATTGTTGCGTCGGACAAAAATAGATAAGTCGTATATCCGTGGGCGACCTTCACACGGAAGCGGCCGGAGACCTCGACCGCACTGTCAAGAATCATTGGTCCTTGACCAATTGATCAAAAGGAAAGTACCTTTCTTTTAGCCGATGCCTTTACTTTTTCGGAGAAGATGAACCAGGCTTCAGGGTACCTCGAACCGCTGTAGCACCCTGCCCCTGATCGATCGAGTCTATCCAAGTATCCAGCCTCTCGCCGGAGTCCGTCAAGTGCTTTTCCGTGAGCGCGTCGGGTGAAATGAGACGCGATATCCGGCTCACCAGCATTGAATCAAGCCAGGCGAAACGGAAGAGTCCCTCCGATAAGTTGCATCCATTGAGATGGAACTGTTGGCCCAGAGAAACGATAAGGAAGCTCCGTCATGTGTTCTCCCTCCTGGCCGAACTCGAGGTGATTCACCTCAGGCGAAAACTTCACGCGATATTGTCCTCGAATAATCTAGCTGTTGGCGATATCCTCAACTTTTCTAGAACATTCGGACGTTCGGATATCCCGTATTCGCATCTCAGAGTTATCTTTTCTTTCGGACGAAACGAGCCGCGGCCCGCTCCCCTGACCCGATGAACTGGTTCTTGGCCAAATGCGCAAAAAGCAGAAGGTATCGAAACCCGGGGCCTCGGAATGCCGGAGATTTTGCCTGTCACCCGAGATAGACATTGATCTGACTTTCTCTATCACTCGGAAGCTCATTCTCGAGATACCTCCAAAAGAAAATCTGGCATGTCACAATGTCGCCTGCATGATATCCACGAGAGGGTCGCACCATTCAAATATGCCGCCATCGACTGCTGTGTGCACGTCCGTCGAGAAATAATCTCGATGTTTCGACGACATGTCCGATGCATGCCCTCAAATTTTGCTTCCCCGCACGTGGATGCGAAACGTGGCCTTTCGGAAAATAATTCGAGCGGAGTTTGGAGGAATCGAACCGAAATTCGACGCTGGAACTGAACGCTACATCTAGCCCTCACCGTTGTGCTGCGCTCCTTCTTCTTCACTCCAGCAGTGGCAGCGGCCGAGCAACACCAGCAGCAGGATCATCGTTAGTCGTCGCTCAGTCAGTCACTACTACGAGGGAGGTTGGGCTGCATAGTGAGACGAGCGAGGTGATAACGTTCAGTGCTCCAGAGCTTGAGATCTAGCGTGACAGCGTGAGGTCGGGGGTGTTCTACTGATGAGCGCCGTGCTCATATCGCTCTGGTCGTCATGATGTGGCGAAAAAGATGCGACGGCTCCCAAATACGGGATCAGCTCTTCAAGGACCTAATTGACTTTATACTGAGAGCAAACACATCGGACGATCTCCTCCGAGACCCAACCGGGAGCAGACTTGAGAACCTTACGCCATCTGACCGAGCTGAGATCGTCGACCGTGTACGTAACGGATGTACGCCATTGTTCCTCGCGGCCAAGAGGGGCCTTGTGAATATCGCCATCTACCTCGTGGACAAATGCAACGCTAACATCGAGAAGAAAGGAGTGTACGAGGTGCAACTCGACCATACGATCCACTATGTTACTCCCCTCTGGTGTGCGGCCGTTGTCGGTCAGCTTGCAGTGTGTGAGGCTCTCGTCCAAAGAGGGGCGGACGTCAACACAGTCTCCGACACGGGCTCTACCGCTATTCGCTCCGCGTGCTATATGTCCAACAAGCCCGTTGTGGAGTATTTGGTTGCGCAGGGAGCCGACGTGAATCGGGCGAACAACAACGGGGGTACATGTCTCATCAATTCTGTCCAGGCGTTGGATTTGTGCAGGTTCCTCATTGAGAAAGGAGCCAATGTGAACGCTCGCGACTCGCAGTTCAAAACTGCTCTGCACTACGCAGTTCAGGAACTCCGATTCGAAACCGTTAAGTTACTCTTGAAGCACGGAGCCGATCATAAGGCTCAGAGCAAGCACGGTGACGACGCTCTCCAAGCAGCCTGCCTCAAGGGCTGCGAAGAGATCGCGAATTATCTCATGGATAACTTGGATTATTCGCCCGAGCGGATCGCCGACGCATACGAGCTGCTCGGAGCGACGTTCGCCGTCGAGAACCACGACATAGGGAAAGCAATCGATTATTGGAAGAGAGCTATCCTATATCGTCAAGAAAAAGGCATCGGGAAGGACATCGATTATCCCACCCATTCCGTCTATATGGGTGTCAAGCCATTCAGAACAATCGAGGAGGTGGACGAGTTGGCCGTCAACTTGGACAAGATCCGAATCCACAGCCTCATGATCAACGAGCGCGTTCTAGGCAAAAGCCATAAAGACACCATATATAGGCTCATGTATCGCGGTGCTGCATTCGCTGACCGATTGATGTATGAACGCTGTATCGACCTGTGGAAGTACGTGATCGACATCCGACTGCTCAAGGATTCCGTGCTCCACCATGACACCTGCGTGGCTTTTGAAACCCTTGTGATTATTCTTTTCGATCGATACGACGACATGAGCGAGAAAGCGAACGCCGACTGGTCGGCGAGTTTGAACGACGCTCTTTTCCTATTGGAAAAATGCATTGATTCGTTCCCGAAGGCCATAGAACAGCTGAAGACAATCCCGACCTTTCGGCGCCACGAAGAGAACTGGGATCGTTTACTGCAGTCCCTTGTGCATCTCCTACATTTGGCCGTCATCGTGAAGAAAACTCCGGACGAAGCCTCGAAACTCAGGGTATGTCTCAAACGTTTGAACTGGATTGCGCCGAGAACTGTCAAAGGCAACTCGCTCCTGCATCTAGCCGCTGGCCGCGTCGACGGCATCAATCGACGGAATCCTCAGGTGTTCGGCGGAAGGCAAATTTTCCCGGATCCTGTCACGACGAGCGCCCTGCTGGAAACGGGCGCTGCCGTTGAAGCGACGAACCAGGACGGCTCGACGGCGTTGCATGTGGCTTCTTTGAGAATTAACTACCGACAGGACGTCGTGGAGTTGCTGCTGGGGAAAGGAGCCCACATTGACCGGACAAACCGTCAAGGAAACACACCGTATCGTATGCTCAACGGAAATCAAGAATGCAAGATCAACGTCACCAATTTGATAACTCTCAAATGTCTTGCCGCTACCAAGGTGAAATCACTGAAAATCAGATACGAGAAGCAGGTTCCGAATAGTTTGATTCCATTTGTCAGAATGCATTGAGTAGTTGTCCCAGGTTTGTGGTGAAACTAGGGGAGACGAAAGGATCTCGACCGACAGTAGCACGAGAGGCTGCGAGTGAGAGTGAATGGTGATGAATGTGTACAGAGAGTACCTACTGCAAGAGCCTTCGATTGGTTGGGCTGCGCGGTGATCGTTTGATATATACCTGTGATAGATTCTTTCGGGGAAGTCGGATACCGCGAATCCTGTGTCGAAAGAAGTATTTCCAAATTATCCGAGTCTCCGCCGTGAATGATCGCCGAATTTTTTTTTCTCATCTTCTCATCCAATGGTCGACTTCAAGTTCTTTTTTCGAGAGCTCGCTCTCCCTCTCTCTTGGAATCGAGCATGCTCGTCTGTCATTCGTTCACGTGCCCATCGATCGGTACGACGATGAATCTATCGATTAGTTTCCATCGAGTCAGTATTTTCGAAGTTGGAATTTAGCGACCCGCGGTCATATGTATGCATAAGCTTTTATCTCGAGTGGTGGCGAGTGTTGACAATGCGTCGACGCTTCCCTTGTGAGCGAGTAGTCGTCGTCGTTTCATGGACTGTGCGGAGAGGTTTTACGCTCCTTTATCGGGTTTTTGCTTATCGATCAACCCCCTGGAATCAAAGGATGATTTGTCGGCTGTTTTTCCTCACTAGTTCGTGGAATGTTTCATCGCAGTCATATTATGGTTTAGCAGGCGAGAGTCGGGGATTCCCCCGTCGCCAGGCTTGTAGTGTCCCTCCTTTATTGATTTTCGGATATGAGCATATTCATACGGTCGCAGATTCACGACACATAGCTGACATTGAATGGTGCTCAGGAAACTGGCGAGCACGTTGATCGGATGTCAAGAGTCTTCCGGATCAGCCTGAGTGTGAACCGGCGGATTATGTGCGCATTCCATATATACCTTGGAGATTTGTTGCTTCCGGAGAGCGAGTCTGTAAAAATGACGAGAACGATACAACCAAACCGTGCACTGTGTAAAAACAAGGCAAAATAATCACTAGTGTCGATGAATAAACTCTGTCTTCGGAACGGAAACTTCAACGTCGTCCTTTATATAGGTCCGTTATTACCATACCTCCAAAAGTTACTACAATCATATTCGACGTCGGGATCTTGGGAAATTATGTTCGGGTCTCGAATGCTTATCGACATTCCAGCAGCGATTCTCTCGCCTGACCGCGTACCGTCAAACAGACCCAGTCCCGTGCACCGGGTATTCCAGCGTCTCCGAGATCCCACGACGAGAGCCATATTCTCGAAACACCGATGGGTGAAAACTCCGCTGAATCTAAAGGAGCCGGATCCGAATTCCCGACCCCCCAGCTCTGATTTCGACTTTGCGGCTGATTCGGTTCTCGGGTCCGAGCGATCGGGTCGGGCGGTGAGGAATTCTCGACAATGGGGCAGTAGTTTTGCTTTCTGTCCAGAGTGGGATCTCGTTGTTCTGGAATCCATCGCCATCACTTACGCTCTCATTCGGATTCGATTATTTTCGGTTCCAGTCTAGTTGACTGGTCATTCGCTTCCATAGATCTGCCATCAAACCCACTGACCGAGCAGCACTCCGGTTCCCGTTCGTGTAATAACCATCCGATGCGTTCCCCTTACCGTGTCGATTCCTCCATCAGCATGAGACCAGACGGCATGCTTTTTGGAAAAGTTCTAATCGGTCGTGACCATTATATTCGATGGAGCCAAGTGGGACGCTCCGGAATTGTATGTTTGACCCGATCCGTGGAGAGGTTGGCCGGCTGCTTGGCTATAACAACACTTCCTGGCGGTTCCGCATAATTCTCTGGCTCTCAGTAAGCGATGTTCTTCCATATCCAGGGAGATATCTTTCCGTTTTGTGAGAATTCAAACGTCGGTACGCGGATGCTTGAGTTTTATGATTCGATATTTTTCCAATAGAGCTTTGGCTTTGGCTCTCGCTGAGTTTAGATAATCGAGTTGTTTACGTTTTTGTGCCCGCGAAGTGTAAGATGAGACCAGAATCTAAATCAAATCATGGCAACAGTCGCTCCAATGAGAGGGCACAGCGATACGAGGGGAGCCGTAAGCGACATGAAATGAAGTAATACAGGTTCGACGCTGACGCTTGCTTGGATGACCCATTTTTAGTGTGGTTTCACGGGGCTACCGCTGTAGTGGCCGCCGCCACCGCCTTCACTTCCGCATCGCGCTGTTTCCCTGCGAAAATCGGTCGGATCAAGAGCACCAATGCCGTTTCCCTCTTTGACTCATCGGAATCGCCAGCTGTCCTGGAAACACTGAAACGCAGTATTTCACCGATTCTTTTCTCAGGCGATCTAGCGTGAACGATGGTGAAAAGTCCTCTCATGGCACCGGGCACGACCGAAACTCATGCGAATGAAAGCGAATATCATCACAGCAACGCCATGACTTGAGCAGGCACAAAAAACATGAGGATAAAGCTCCCGCGTTAGATAATGATGACATTGTTCCAGCTTGAGGAGCTACGGAGACGAACACGGTCAGAAAAAAAAGAGTCGCGGCGACAGTTTCGTCCTTGGACCCAAGGCAGCGAACAGCGCCAGAAGTTATTCTGTTCTCCGGCGTTGGCGGTGCGCTAGCGGGACAGTCGTTTGGCCGCAGACCGCCATCATGAGTCATCGCAGCTACCGCTCCGACGCGCGCTTCGAGCGATGCCCTGAAAATTCGAGATCCCAAGTCACTAGGCCACCGGAGCCGCTGTCGTCATTGTGAAATCGAGTGCTTCGAAACTGTTTTTGACGTGTCGCCAAACAGCGAGAAGTACTGTTCTGCGCTCGATCGCGTCCCATTATCAGCGCTCGATCGTCTCATTATCAGTGCTGCCCGTGTCAGTGGCCTCGTTAAGGCTCGGCGACGGCGTTGGTGTGAGCATCGAGATTGATTCCGCGATTCCCGCTCACGGCATACTTCCAACTCGGAGCGATTACGTTTGGCCGGCCGTGATGATTCTCCCTCACGAAAACGCGTCGAGTTTATTTCCCTCGAGTGATCGGGAGGGATCTCTCCGAGACATGCTGTTCTATTTCCGTGCTGCGACAGAGCTCGTTCGTCTCTCGGCGGCCTCTTCCAGCACATCGGAACCTTAGGGGGGCAGGGAGAAATTCGTTCACGATAAAATCAACGGACTTGATCGTTATCGCTCGCAGCCTTCCATCGAGACTCAGGGGCCGATATTGTTCTACTATCGCACCAGAATCTCTGCTGCAACGATGCGGATAAGTCGGTCGCGAATAATTTCTTTTTCCCATCCCAAGGTCGTGGGACGACTCGTGCATGTATCGAGGGATGTCAGCGTTGAACACGCCACACATGATGATGCGCCGAACAGCATCGAGGCATGATCATCCAGTTTCCCGCTTCACCGAATTTTTCGAATTTGCAAGTCAGGCGCCTCTGCATTATACGTTACAGCCTGACGACGCCGTGGAAACGTACTACTATAGATCCATGCCATGCGACAAATATTCCCCTTCCAGAAACGAGCGGAGATTCGGTGTATCAAACGCGCGATTCCAAGAATTTTTATTCACCCCGCCTCAGCGGTGCAACTTCCGGTCGAACGAGAGGGACGCTATCGAGTTTGATCTGATGAGTTCCATATTATGATATGGAATCTTATGATTAGGATATCACGATATATAGCCTTTGTTTCACCTTCCGAAACTCTACACTCTGTAACAAACTAGGCCTCATTTGGTAACACCTGGTCGATGGTGTTCAGAGTAATGACCGCAGCTGAACCAATGACCACCGGAAAGAGCGGGTAGCCTCATGACTCATGAGGAAGTCCCTGGGAACGGACAGGCATTGTCAAAACGGAATCACACGCGTCGCAATCTCACTCCAGAGGGAATTCTGTGTGATGCCACGCGGGAGAACGAATAATTCTACCAGAATTCGATGAAGTCCTCGAGAGCAGAGAGGGGATCGAGCTTTCTTCAACGATTCCCGACTACGCTGCGCTGGTTTATCCCTCCCGCGTGGGAAGACTAACGCTCGCTTGACATGGCGAAGATCGAAGGTAAAGCGATGTAAAATTCAGGGCAAGTCACGCGAATCGGGCCTCTCGCTGCCGGAAGTCATTCGCATCGGATTATATCCGATTGATGGCTCGATTCCGATGCCGCCCGATTCCGATGGAGGCTTCGGAATGATTTTTCCAGATCAAGCGATTGACCTGAATGGGTCAGACTAGATATGGCGGGAGAATTCGCTCCGGATGAAGCCTCCATCAATCCGACACGCTTTATTTTCTTCCGTCGCTGATTGCGAATGCTGACAAGTCGGCGGAACGTTGTAGCGGGATTCTTGTCCGAGCTTAAACCGAAAGTTGCTTGATTGAAGCTCCCCGACCTTAGAGCACTCACGAAGTCCCCCTTGCCAGAATTATTCCCAGGGTTCAGCGTCCCGCAGGTTTAAGACAGTATTCTTTCTGCGAGAGAACACGAATCTCGGAGAGAGACTTCGTCGCACGCTCAGCAACCGCCGGGCTTTCTCCGTTGCCGCCGTCTTAGAGATGCTTTGTTCGTCACACCGATGTTTTGCGGAAAACTCCCGTACGACGTGAAACGAAACATGGTCAACATGACACGATCATTGTCGCGCAGTCGAGGGGAGAGCGAGACTTGCACTGTTCGAGCGTGTAAAAAGAACGTTCTACGCGCTGACTCCTCTCCGCGGGTTACACTCCGTGGGAGAAGCCACTCGTGTAAGGAGAAGCGGACAATGAGAACCCTGTAATCAAAGGAATGGCAGGGTCTCGGTCTTGATTCAATCAGCGGGCGTATGCTCATTTCCGAACTGTCTATGGAAGCAAAATCTCGGGAAGCGGCCCGGGAGTTTCGTTCCACAATTTACTCATGGGGAATATTCATTTTACTTTATTACAATTTTCAATTATGAATCATCGCTCGAATATTTTCGAAAATGTGGCTCTCAGTTCTGGGTCCAGTGGTTTCGTCTTGATCGGTAATCGGAGACGACTCGAATCTAACACAGAAAGTACGGACTGAAATGGAAGAGCCTGATACCCAATCAGAAACATTTCTCAACATGAAGGCGGGCGACCGAGAGATAATAAGTCGATAATCGAGTGACGGAACTTCTCATCACACACAATTTTCATTTTGTATAAGGTTTCCTTTCTCAACTCTCACGAGTTCTCCGAAGTAATCGATGCACGAGAAAGAGAACGACGGGGGGAGTCGAAGTTGGAAATCAGAAACAGAATATTTGAGCAATATTGCCGTCCGAGACGGGTTTTCCATTCCGACGAATCCTTAAGTAGAATCTCAAGGTACTCATCGCAAGCGAGTAAACTCATCCAAGTCAGCAGTACCGGAACGGAATGCGTGTCGGTCAGGGGAGCCGTCGAGTACGGGAGCGTCTTTCTCAGATCGCAGGACACAGGAGCTCTGCTCTGCTTGCTCTGCATCTCGAGCTTTTCAGGTCGATACCTGGTTCCCGAACCTTCCGGCTCTAATGCCGAGCGTTTTTGCTCTTCTTAGTAGTCGGGATCGATTGCCTCGCGACTGAGAAAGCCCGTGTTCGAGCGCTGTGGCTCCACGGTGACGAAAGCCGATATTCGGAGTGTGTTTGAATCTCAATCCACGTTTCGGTTCGGGGGCCAGCCTGCTCAGCATCCGATTTCAAATCTCGGCGGAGCTCGCGCCGTATCTGCTCTTTCGACGTATTTCCCGTACTCCAGTGGATAAACTCAGCTTTCAGCCTTTGGATCCGATACGGCTAATCTCGAGTTGGCTCCACCGTATCACAAATATCCACCATGACGCTTTTCCATTTCCTTGATTCCGCCTGGCTGAGCAGAGAGCACGCGTCCGAACAAAATCTGGGCCAGCTCCCCAAGCTCCATGGAAAATTTTCAAATCTCGACAACTGTCCCGACGAAATGACTCGGAGTTCCCGCAACACTAGTGCGGGAACGGTCTTTTTAGATCCAGCCGAATACGCCGGATCCAGAGATCCCGCCTGTAGCGAATCTGCACGTATCGATACTTCGA